TGATTCCAACTTTATGGTGGTACCTGTATGTTTGCAACTGACTCGACGCTTTGGGTTTCCTAGATTGCTAACGCGCCCCTCTCTTCCTAGATATCTTGTCAAGGACGTCCAGGATGACGTGGCGGGAGACCGGCTAAAGGCCTGAGCGGTAAACTACATGTGTGTATTTACTCGCCTTATACATGTGGGGTTGTGGTAATTTTCTGTTCGACTGCTTGCATTGGAAGTGACCAGCTGTTGTGTAGATCCAGGTGACTGCTATACGATGCACCCCGTAGAATATTGATGTTGAGATACTCGGAATACCATTGTTGTAAACAAGACACGGATGAACCAAGTGAATCTCAAGTGAATCTGTGAATTCCATAACTCCACCTCATGACCGGTAAAGAGAAAAGTTAATTTATAAGAAACCGAATCACCTGTATGTTTTGGGGTGGCATGATTTTGTTCTATTTCCGCCCTTGTTCTCCCAACACGGCCTGTTGTTCGGTCGGGCAGGCTCACCGCTCAGGGGCAGCGGCACTAAATTGTAGTACCTTAGCTTACTGCACTGTCTCACTCCCAAGCTGTTTCTTTCTCTTGCCTTTTTTTTGACCCTTTTCCCTAGTTCTTTTAAGCTATCTATCTCCATACCACACTTGTGTGCTATCGTTCCAATTGCATTGCTTTCAGTGTATCAATTTTGTACCCCTCTCCAGCGATATCCTGAACAAATACGCGCCGCAATGGCGTCTCAAGCCGTTAAGAACGCGATCACCGAAGCCGCGTCGCAATACGTGAAGCCGGAGGGGAAGGTCTTCCAGTATGGCACTGCGGGGGTAAGTGCCTTTCTCTTGCGTCTTCCGCGTTACTGTTAGGACCGCGCTAACTTCATCATTCTTTATGCAGTTCCGCATGAAAGCGTAAGTTGTGGTTCCTTTTTTGCTCCTTGACCCCCCGGAAGGATCGCTCAGCCCCGCCTCCACAATACCCCGCGATCGTCCTTTGATTTACAACTTGGCCAACGTCTCCTCGCAGCGACATCCTCAATACAGTGGTTTTCTCTGTCGGTTTGCTCGCTGGACTTCGCTCCAGGAAGCTTAGTGGGCAATGGATTGGTGTCATGATTACCGCGAGTCACAACCCAGCGGAGGACAATGGTGTGAAGCTGGTTGATCCTATGGTACGTATATGCATCTCTCCCCAAATGAAAATCAAAGCACCAATTACCCAAAAATGGGAATGAGACGAAACACAAGAAAAAATGAAAATAAATGAACTTGCTTGAGTGTTATACTAACTGGAAATATCTAGGGTGAAATGCTGGAAGTATGTCTTGCAACTATACAAATGTGATAAAAGGGAATTGCTTACATGTTCGTCAAACAGGCGGAGTGGGAGCCTTATGCGACCAGACTTGCCAATGCTCCGTTGGACAAAATCGCCGATGTCTATGATGAACTGATCAAAGAGATCGATGTCAGCATGGAGAACCCCGCTCGCGTGGTCTTCGCTCGTGATACCCGTGCTTCTGGGTCTCGCCTGGTCAGCGTTATCAATAATGCGCTTACGGCGACGGAGGTCGAGTTCCTTGACCAGAAATTCATGACCACCCCTCAGCTTCATTACGTTGTGCGATGCAAGAACACCCTGGGTACCCAGTACGAGTACGGCGAGCCGACCGAGCAAGGATACTATGAGAAGCTTGCTTCGGCCTTCAAGAGAGTGATGAGGAGCGTAAAGACCAAGGGTCCTCTCACTGTTGACTGCGCCAATGGTGTTGGTGGACCTAAGCTGAGGGAGTTGATCAAGTACCTACCCAGTGCGGAAGAGGGTGGCCTCGAAATCAGAATTGTCAACGATGATGTTATCAACCCCGACAGGTTGAACTTTGAGGTAAGTTCCAGAGCCTTGACAGGGTGGCCCCATAACTAAGCGGGTGATTAGTGCGGCGCCGATTATGTCAAGACGAAGCAGCGTGCTCCCCCTTCGTCCAAAGCATCCGTGCTTGAACGCTGTGCTTCGCTGGATGGCGACGCTGACAGAATCGTCTACTATTTCCTGGATGAGGGTAATGTTTTCAGGCTGCTTGACGGTGACCGCATTGCCACCCTTGCTGCTTCCTTCATTGGCGATCTTGCTCGAAGCGCCGGTATCGCTCAGAAGCTGAAGATCGGTGTGGTGCAGACGGCCTATGCCAACGGCGCCAGCACGGACTACATCGAGAAAGTCCTGAAGCTTCCTTCTGTCTGCACCAACACCGGTGTGAAGCATCTTCACCACGCCGCCTTGCGCTTCGATGTTGGGGTCTACTTTGAAGCGAACGGCCACGGCACGATCACGTTTTCTGAGAATGCTCTGAAGGCGATCAAGAACTCCGAGCCCCAATCCCCGGGCCAGCAACGTGCTCTCGAATCCCTCCAGGGCCTGACCGACCTCATCAACCAGGCAGTCGGCGATGCCCTCTCTGACATGCTTTTGGTGGAAGCTATCCTGGCCCACAAGTGCTGGAGCCCCAAGGAGTGGCTGGGCACCTACACTGATCTCCCGTCGCGCCTCGTCCGCGTCGAGGTCGCCGACCGATCGATCTTCAAGGCTTACGACGCCGAGCGCAAACTCGAGTCCCCTGCAGGCCTCCAGTCGAAGATCGATTCCCTCCAGTCCCGCTACAACAAGGGAAGGAGCTTCGCCCGTGCCAGTGGCACAGAGGATGCAGTCCGTGTCTACGCTGAGGCGGCTAGCCGTTCCGAGTCGGACGACCTCGCCACTCGCGTTGCCAACGCTGTTCGCGAAGCTGGCTCTACCAAGGAGGCTTAATAACTTCAAAAATTTACGAGCCGTTTCTATCAATGTTTGATGAATTGCAGCAAGCGTCTTTGTGAATCTCAGAATATTTAGCCATGTCTGTTTCATTGGAAGGGAGACGGGCTGCGGGACTCATTGATGAATGATGATGGCCTGTTTAACCCAAAATATTCTGTTATAGAGTTTGATTGACATACTCAGGAATGAATCATGATTGACCATTGCATTACACCCAAACTCAGTATCATTTTGATCTTCTACTTAATTTATCTCGTAGTAGGAACTTTCGTAGCAACTGTATCTAGGAGCCACGGGCTAGGCGTGGACGGGAAAACAGATAACCCGGATTCCTCCGCGGCGCTGTTCCGCCGATCTACTTTTTTTCGGGCTTAAAAAAAAAAAGTCCGTTCTAAATCCAGACGACGGGACGTTTCTGACCGCGAACACAAATTTACACCATCAATTTTAACATCACTATCGCCAATCATGGCCAGAGCACGCACGAAGAAGCGCACTCATGTTCGCCCTGAAAACACCCCAGCCAACAGTGGCGCCAGCTCGCAGAGCAAGGCTCCCAAGTCCATGGTGATCCGAGTCGGCGCTTCGCAGGTCGGCTCGAGTGTCAGCCAGCTGGTCAAAGATTTCCGATTGATGATGGAGCCTGACACCGCTGTGCGATTGAAGGTAAGCACAATCATTAGCGGTCTAATCCCTTTCCAGAAGCACAAATACACGATACTAACCACGGCGCCGACTACCAGGAACGGAAAGGCAATCGACTGAGAGATTATACGTCCATGACCGGCCCTCTGGGCGTTACTCATTTGTTTCTGTTTTCCCGCTCCGAGACGGGCAACACCAACCTACGCATGGCGCTGACGCCGCGCGGGCCGACGCTGAATTTCAAAGTCGAGGAGTACTCGCTATGCCGGGACGTTGAGAGGTCGCTGAAGCGGCCGCGCGGTGGCGGTCAAGACCACAAGACGCCGCCGCTGCTGGTGATGAACAACTTCAACACTCCCGACGCGGACGAGAACTCCAAGATCCCGAAACGTCTCGAGGGCCTCACAACCACTCTCTTCCAGTCGCTCTTCCCGCCTATCAACCCGCAAGCGACCCCTCTGACCTCCATCCGTCGCGTGATGCTCTTGAACCGGGAGCGCGACCCCGAGGATGACGGGTCGTATGTGCTGAATCTGCGACACTACGCGATCAGCACGAAGAAGACGGGCGTGTCGAAGCGGATCCGCCGTCTGGACCCCAAGGAGGTTCGCAACAAGGAGCATAAGTCGGCTGTGCCGAATCTGGGTAAATTGGAGGATGCTGCCGACTATCTGCTTGATCCTTCGGCTGCCGGGTACACTTCTGCCAGTGAGACGGAGATGGACACAGACAATGAAGTCGAGATCACAGAGAATGCGACGAAGAAGGTGCTCTCGAAGCGGGAGCAGCAGCGCATGAAGGCGAGTGAGCAGGAGAAGGCCCAGAAGAAACTGAACAGTGCTCCGGGAGTGGAGAAGCGGGCGGTCAAGCTGGTGGAACTGGGACCGCGCTTGAAGCTGCGCCTGCTCAAGGTTGAAGAGGGCGTGTGCGATGGCAGGGTCATGTGGCATGACTACATGCGGAAATCGGAAGCCGAGGTCAAGAAATTGGATAAGAACTGGGAGCAGAAAAATAAAGAGAAGGAGGAGCGCAAGAAGATCCAGAGGGCCAACGTCGAGAAGAAACGACAGGAGAAGGCGAAGGCCAGGTCCAATGGGAAGGGGGCTGCTGAGGACGGTGATGCCGATATGGACGAGGAGGATGAATGGTTCAGCGATGATTTTGACGAGGATGAGGGTGCCAAGAAGGAGGAGGTCAACACCGACGACGACGAATCCATGGAGGAGTAAAGAGTCCAACTGTTACCGCTACGAAGATATTCGAGTGCTCGTACTGCATGGTGTGAGGAATCTTATGACTACATGCGCTTCCAATCCTGCGACGCCGACTTCTGTTCATGTACAAGGGATGGCGCTATGGATGACTGACTGCACGGCGGAGAGCCAGAACAGCCTTGATTAGAACATCATGGCCAACTCCCGGAACGCGGAACATTGGCTAATGGTGCAGGCCATAGCTACAGCGTCCGTGGAAGACAAACCGTGCCAATGGCGGAGGACAATTGTGGAAGGTATCTAGTTCAGGAGCAGACATAATATACCCAAAATTCACGCTATGCTACATGATATATTCTAAAGCTCACATTACTATTTACCCATCATTCATAAACCCAGGCTCACTCAAACAAAACGGCTAAACCCCGAATCACTTCTTCAGCTTCTGCTCCACGATCCGCTCCACCATCTTCTCCAAAATACTCATGTTACCCCCCGCCGTCCCAGCAAAATACCCCTCCACACTCTTCTCCACATACTTACCCACGATATCAATCTCAACATTAACATCCTCCCCAGCTTTCTTCCCCGCCGTCACAATCTTCTCCTGCGTATACGCAATGAGCATAATCTCAAAGTACCCCTCCTCGCCATCCACCACCTTCGTCACAGTCAGACTGGCCCCGTCCAGCGTCACGTAGCCCTTCTCGACGATATACCGCATGACGCCCATCTCGCGCGGACGCAGGCGCAGCACAAGCGCATTCGCATCCGGCGTGGCCGACACGATCGTCGCGATGGTGTCGACGTGGCCCTGCACGAAGTGGCCGCCCATGCGGGTCTCGCCCTGCACGGCGCGCTCGAGGTTGACGCGCGCGTTGGTCGTCAGGGAGCCGAGGTTGGTGCGACGGAGGGTTTCGGGCGCGACGCCGACTTTGAACCAGGTCTTGGAGGCCGTGTCGAAGGCGGTTACTGTGAGGCAGGTTCCTGTTTGGTTTGGAAGAATTTTGGGTTAAGGTGTGTGATTCTTGGTGGAAATGGAAGAGAGAGAGAGAGATGGGTATGTGTACCATTCACACTGATGCTATCGCCCAGATGGACGTCACCCAGGATCTCCTCGCAGTTGGAGATGGTCAGCGAGGTGCCCCCGCCCCCGCTGGCGGAGGTGTCGAGGGGCTCCAGCGACGAGACCGCTGCGTCATTGTCAATGGGCTGACCCGCTAAGACAATGCTGGAGATTTTAGTTTACTCACTCCCGATGGTTTCGACCAGACCGGTAAACATATTGATATAGGTATAGTAGAACCCGAGTAGTAAAAGTGACGCAAGGGAGATGGGAGCTTCGGCTACGGTGGAGGCGGAAGAGACACAACGAGCGGGAAGCGAAGATGACCGACCTCGGCTGGCGGGGGTGGAAATAGTGCAATTATAGGCCTGGCCAGCCGCTTGTCGGCCATCTCCCCGAATCAGAATCTCATCTCGTTCTTCTCCACACGATCACTGGTCTTCCTTGTCCCGAGAGCTTGATTGGTATAAAAACATGCCCCATTCCTCTCTATAGATTGAATAGGTTGTTTCTTTTTCTCATTCCGTTGGATATTGGTTGCTCGTCGCATCTCTATTCCGCTATGAGTGTCGCATTCAAGTTGATCGCTCGCCGGCCGGCGCTCCCCCACCTCTTCGCTCGTCGTCGCTATACACCGCAATGGCGCTCCTACAGCACACCTGCGGAGGATACACTTCCTTTGAAAGGGGTGCGGGTCCTTGATATGACTCGAGTCTTGGCTGGGGTGAGTTCCTTGTCTTCCCTTATAATAGTAATATGGCAAATATTCTAACTGTGCACTGTACCTGTAGCCATACTGCACACAGATACTGGGAGACTTGGGGTACGTATTGAAGCGGATTTGGTTGCATTCTAGGTAGTCTCGGCATGGACTAACGTATCTCGCGCAGGGCCGATATTATTAAAGTGGAACATCCTGTCCGTGGTGATGACACTCGGGCGTGGGGTCCGCCTTATGCTCAGTACCAGGATGGGAACCATGAGGGACCCGGTGAGAGTGCGTATTATCTTGGGGTATGGATTGACAATTCCCATGTAAAGCAGTGCGGCCGAGCTGATTGGAGACGACATAGGTCAACCGCAACAAAAAGTCGATCGGACTGTCCTTCGCTCACAAGTCTGGCGTGGAAATCCTCCACCGTCTGGCTAAGGAATGTGACGTCCTTGTCGAGAATTACCTTCCGGGGGCGCTGAAGAAATACAACATGGACTACGAGACATTACGAGCGATTAATCCCAAATTGATCTATGCCAGTATCACTGGGTACGGCCAGACAGGCCCCTACAGCAATCGGGCCGGATACGATGTCATGGTGGAAGCCGAGATGGGCCTCATGCACATCACCGGAGCGCGGGATGGCGACCCCGTCAAGGTCGGTGTAGCCGTCACCGATTTGACGACCGGTTTGTACACATCGAATGCAGTTATGGCCGCGTTGCTGGCGCGGGCGCGGACGGGCAAGGGACAACATATCGACGCCTGCTTGAGTGACTGCCAGGTCGCAACACTCGCCAACATCGCCAGCTCGGCCTTGATCAGCGGGAAGAAGGACTCCGGAAGATGGGGAACCGCGCATCGTAAGTAATTGCGCAGTGATCCCGATGATTGCGTGGCTTTCTAACTATTGTCAGCGTCCATTGTCCCTTACCGGAGCTACAAGACCCTAGACGGAGACATCCTGTTCGGCGGTGGCAATGACCGGCTTTTTGGTGTGCTGTGCGACCGGCTGGGCTTCCCGGAATGGAAGACAGACCCCCGATTTGTTACCAACAGCGATCGTGTCCAACATCGCGAGATTATCGATGGGCTCATTGAGGAAACGGTCCAGAAGAAGACCACGCAGGAATGGCTGGAGATTCTCGAAGGCAGCGGGATGCCGTATGCCGCAGTCAACGACATCCAAGGGACCTTGAACCACTCCCACGGTGAGCCTCGAAGGTCTTTCTTGTAATCGTTGGCAATTTACTAATTGTGGCCCTCCCATCCAGTGCAAGCACGAGGAATGGTCACCGAGGTCGACCATCCTTCGTGTGGGCCTATCAAGCTCGTCAACACTCCCATCAAATATTCCCACGCGACGCCTGGCGTCCGAACGCCGCCTCCGACGTTAGGTCAACACACGGACGAGATCCTGGGAGAAATCCTGGAGTATGAAAAGGATGATATCGCGCGTTTGAAAAAGGAAGGTGTGATTTCGTAGATTATGGTGGGTTGTTGCCGCTCACGGATGTACATAGAGAGGGGTTCGGCAATCAGCAGAAAAGCTAGACCGTATATAAGCCGTTACATTAGTCCATAGCAAACGACGTATACATAAGATATATTCATCTTTGAATGATAATCCAGATGGGAACGGTGGAATGTCAGGTCAATCCATATATCTGGGAGTGAATGAGTGAACGGACAATGAAACATGTCAAAGGAATCCAGGGAGATGGGTGTGGTCACGTGTTGCTATATAAATCTCTGGATCGGCTCATCATCTACTGATGATGCCATGTGGGATCTTCCTCGCTGGCAATAGAGACTCACCGTTATTGACACTTTTTCCCGGCTGAATTGACCGTGCCAGGGGGTATGACACTTCCAACAGGAGATTCCTCCTCAGTGCCTTGCGCCACAGAAACAATAGAGACGGCACCTCCCCCAACTCATGGTTCTCAGGCCTCCACGTCGGCCTCACATCCCACGGCGCCTACGCTGAATCATTCAAGCCCTGAACCCTCCAAACCAGACCAGCCGCCAAGTACAAACTCTACTCGAGTCCAGATTCCGAAGCTCTCTGCGGCGACTACCGCTCTTTTGGCACGAATCACGGGTAATATCAAAGGGGGGCAACAAAGCGATGATCATCCGAACAGTATCAGTTACGGCAACCCTTATACACCCGTTAGTTCGTCTCGAACTTCTACGAATCAAAGTCTGGATCATCGAAGCTCTCAGATTCCAGCCAAAATGAGGACTTCTTCCGCGATTCTTGATCTCCCTACACCTCCATTCGTTTACTCCCATCATATGACCGCCCCAGCGGTCTCTCATCAGACAACCGCAGCTACATCTACATCTATACCAGCACCGCCTCAAGGGAACACTGTGAAACCGGGCCTTGTTGCTATAGCCCCAAGACCTGCTGTCGTGCCCTCATCGGTGCCACCAGCGCCGTTACAATTTCACCAGCCTCCACAGCCCCAGTTATCTCCCCAACGATCATCAGCGCCACTGGCTCCATTACCAGCGCTGGCACCGGGACCGATTCCCATACCACCGCCAGCCTCACAGCCGCAACCGGTAGCATCGGTAACCGAAGTGCCCTATCCAAAACTCACTCTATCAAAACCAAAGAAACCAGTTGCCAGTGCTCGTTCACGCAAAAACACTAACGGGGCTAAACGGCCAAAGAAACGCAAACGGGGCAATGACAGCGACAGCGAGGTCATCTGGGCGGGCGACTCGAGCACAGATGAGTCGGATGTCGCGCCCATCACCACGCAGACAAAGTCCGGCCGCCAGGTGAACCGACCTTCATTGTACGTGCCCCCGCCAGCGTCATCGCCGAGCGTCATCAAGGAAAATAATCACAGTTTTCCGACAGATGGGTCGGACAACACACATACCCCGCCTACGGCAGCCGCTCGAAAACGAAAGCGGGTGTTTCGCAGAGGAAAGGATACCATCATCACTTGTGTCCATTGTCAAAGGGCGCACAGTCCGCTCAGCAATATGATTGTTTTCTGCGACGAGTGCAACAGCGCTTGGCACCAGCTGTGTCATGACCCTCCCGTCGCGGCCGAAGTTGTTGCTATTAGGGAGAAAGAATGGTTCTGTAAGGACTGCAGACCAATCCAGGTCGGCATTACACAACCGACAGTGGTTAGAAGCAACCCGAGTATAGGCCTGCAATCTGCGCAGACCCGGCCTCCCGTTCATCTTCCTCTAATTCTCCCCAAGACAGAAGTCGGAGGGGGAAGCTTCTCGGAGGATGAGCGGAGGGGGTATTTGTCAACCTTTTCGCATGCTGCACTTGTTGAGCTGCTTGTCACAATATCAAGTAGTCACCCCTCCCTACCAATGTTCCCCGAGGATCTGAAAACATCACAAACCTCAAATTTCTTTTTCTTGCCGAAGACGGCCGCGGCGCTCCCAGGGAGTCCACCCATGGACAGCTCTACTACTCACCCTACATCCGCCGTACCGAACGGCACATCAACGGTCAATGCCCACTCCGTACCCCAATCTCAATGGGAAGCGGAAGATCCCGACGATGAACTGGAATACGAAATCGAAGAGCACCGACTATATCCGAGGGCCGGGAACGGATTTCAACTTCCATTCGATACTAAAGACATGGACATAATGCGCGAGGACGTTGCCTGTCCGACTTTTAGCTACTCGTTGCATGGTCCTGCACGCCTTCGAGCGCAAGATGGCACTTCAGCCCCTGTCTGGGGTACCGTATGACCTTTGGCGGTCTTTTTTTCAGTCTCAGCTTGGACTATGGCCTAGCGTGCAACTCATCATCAATGACCTATCGGGCCCGAGATATGTTCGTCTTGCTTTGCATGACCTGGCGGTGTTTAGCTTCCTGGTTCACGGTTTGGACTCATATTAATATCACAACGGGCGCTGAGGACTTCTATATCCATATCAGCACCAACCATTGCAAATTCAATCGGCCCCAGCCGAAAATCAATACCATCACTCCCACCACTATACAAATCTATATATCCCATCCAGCTTCGAAACCCATGGAGATAGCTTTAATCTCCCACCGCAAATAACATCCCGATTAATTCTAGACGGCGGATCCCACACCACCTCAGCGACGCTATTTCGCGGCCGCGCAACAACATCACACCCAGTATCATCTCGAGCGTAGACGAGCAGTAAATCCGCACAACAACCAACATCAACAGTAACCCCACCACCACCACCACCCTCATCCATCCCGATCGCCGCGCGCGCCCGCGTAGACACACACTCATACAAAAGCTCCGCATCGGCCCGAGTACCCGCCTGGTAAACCCCAACCCCAAGACAAGCCAAACCCAGCGGATCCGCCGCCCCCCAAGGCGTAAAGGCATTCCCCACATTATTCACCCCAACGACCGCATCAAGCCCATACTCGCGCACCAACCGAGGAACCTGCAACGTTCCCCTAGGCGTCGCCATCGCCCCTTCCTCACCACCTCCCGCAGGAGGCGCAGCCATATAGAGATCACTCGTCGGCAACCCAACAAAGCTAACCGGTAACTCATCCTCAGCGATCTCCTTCGCCAGGCGCGCCCACTCGTCCTTCCCAAATAACGTCAAGCGCGTACAGTGGCCCAGCATTACACGCTTCCGCGTGCGTCCACCCGTCCATCCACAGCGCCTTAACTCATCCAGCACCGTCCACACAAGCGGTTCGCGGCCGGGATCAAGCGTGTAGTCGAGATGGAAATCGAGATGCAGGTCATGAGCCAGCGCAGTGCGCACAGCCCACTCGATATTCCGCTTTGCGGCCTTGGGGTCTGACTCAACGTACGGCGTCGAGCCCAGCACGTCGACTCCGTCGCGCAGCAAGGCAGACTCGATTAGCTTCCTATTTTCGGCGCCGTGGGCGCCGGAGAAGACCGGGTCTTGCGCGAAGCAGACGACCTGCATCTTGCAGGCTTCAGCCCAGTGGGCCTTGAGGGTGAGTGCTGCGTCGAGGCAGGTGTGTTGCACTGTTGCGTCGACTTCTACGAAGGCGCGGAGAGCGGTTACGCCGTTGGCGAGGGATTCTGCGAGGAGCCATGATCCGCGCTTGAGGAGGTCGGAGGCTTCGAAGGATTGCTTTGCGGTTGTTGTGGAGGCCAGCGCTTCGGGAAATGTGCCTGTTGTTGGGGCTAGGTGGGCGTATTTGGGGTCGTTGTGGATGAAGGCCTTGTCGAGGTGGATGTGGGGGTGGGTGAGGGCGGGGAGGACTAGGGGGGGTTCTTGGGCTTGGCTGGGATTGGTGTCGTTGGTGGTGGGAGTGGTATGAGTGGTGGGAATGAGGGATTTGATGCGTCCGTTGGGTTTGAAGGTGATGTCCCAGGTGGATGATGGGGAAGTACTTGATGAGGGTAGACGGATGTTGTGGAGGGAGTGGAGGGGGGTGAGCTGGGGTGGCATTATCTGTGATGACAGTGAATTTCCGAGTCAAACATGCATATAGGAATGCATTATACTCACAGTTAATGGTAAAATAGGATCTAATTGAATAAATTAAAGAGGTCGAGAGTGTTGGATGGTTGGGAGAGTAAGAACCATGCAGATAATGCAAGTATATATTTCTCCGCACGTGAGGGCCGTCCCCGCATAGAATCCGTTCATATCGCGTCTTCCATTTCCCCTCGAATATCCCCGCGCATCTCATTAAACCTTCAAAATCTTATTGTGTACGTCTCAAGGTTGCAATATTGAAGACATTACTCACGGTCATCCCAAATATTGATCACACTATTCTTACACGGAGTCACACGCCTAAGCGCTAACCGCCATGGCGTGACAAACACCATAATGCTATCTCAATAACCACCTCACGACTCTAAATCCACGACATACAAGTACCCAGGAAAACAAAGGGGTACAGAATAAGGCACCATGTCAAACCCACCACGCGCCTTCAACTCATACCCTTCTTCCCCATCTACCCAGCAAAGATGGTACAAGGCCCTCACCATTGATGTCCTACTTGCCGTCCTCAACCGCACCATCCTCCACCCCTGGGTGGCGTGGATCCTAGTCCTCAGCCTTCGTGCCCAAGTCACTCCCTACACCGATCTCTCTTTTATGATAGCTACTGGCTATGCAGTCTTCTTGACCTTGATCGCTGTCGGCCGCACCATCAACCACCGCGTCGCGTACGGTCTTCCGCGGCACGTCGACCTCACCGAGGAGGTGGTCATCGTGACCGGCGGCGCCAGCGGCCTGGGTCAGGTGATCGCGCGCATGTACAGTATGCGGGGGGCGAGCGTCGCCGTCTTGGATATCAAACCCCGTGAGGAGATAAGTGATGATGAGGTGAGCGGTGGGGCAGAGTATTACTGCTGCGACGTGGGGGATCGGGCGATGGTGGAGGCAACGGTTGACCAAATTGAGAAAGAGGTATCTTCTTTTCCAACTTTGATATGTTCATCATTCGATACTCTATGTGGTATCGTCCTATATAAAACCACCATGCTAATAATTCAACAGCTGGGAACCCCCACCATCTTGATCAACTGCGCCGCGGCCAGCATAAACGGCCTCCCCCTCCTCTCCCTCCCGGCCTCCTCATTCCAAAAAACCCTCTCCACCAACCTCCTCTCCGTCCTCAACACAACCCAAGTCTGTCTTCCGCGCATGCTATCACCCTCATCCTCACCATCCGACAACGAAGATACAGAAGCCCGAGGGGGAGGAACCATCGTCAATATCTCCTCCGTGACAGGCGCTCTCTGCCCCGCAGGTCTATCAGATTACTCGGCCAGCAAATCCGCCCTCACGGCACTACACCGCACACTCGAAGCCGAGATCCGCGCATCCGGCACCAACGATCACATCAAGCTGCTCCTCGTCGAGACGGGGCAGATCGCGACGCCGCTGTTCCGCGCTGTGCGCACCCCGAACGCGTTTTTCGCCCCCGTGCTGGAGCCGGTGCAGGTTGCGCGCGCTATCGTGGATGCTGTTGATGCCGGGGAGGGCGGTACGGTGAGGTTGCCGTTTTTTGCGTCGCTGGTGCATTGGTATGCGGTTTTGCCAGCGGGGGTGCAGAGGGTTGCGAGGTGGTTGAGTGGGATTGATGGGGCTGTTGCTGAGGCGGGGTTTGAGGCGGAAGGGAGGGGGGTGAAGGAGGGTTAGATTGTGCTGTTTGTCTTGTTGGTGCATAATGATTAGGCGTCGAGATAGAGATATACCCTCGGCGATGCTGTATTTATAACTAATGCGATACGCTTGGATGAGTTCGGGCGTTGATGAATTACGTGTTTAATGTGACTCGGGGGTTGCTTGTTCATTCATACATTCATTAAGGTTGATTTGGTACTCCGTTATAACGGAGTCGTGAACTTCTGACACTAACTAGATACAAGTGGTGCGATGTGAAGTATGGGCACAGGTTGCGGGATGTTAGACTGTGGGTGGGTACAAGAGTAGCTCTCAACAGAGGCGAACCTAGGTATAGACTCGAAGTGGAGAGCTACTCCCGCACCGGCGTCTTGCATGCGAATGCCATAATCCCGTTGTAGCGGGCTCTTGGATCATTCAATGACCCCCTAAAGCAGACGCCGTGTAACGCAGCAGCCACAGGTTACACACGCGGAGGTATAAGCCGCAGAAACGGACCAGGTGGCCGACGAAACGCTCCATCGGATGGGATGAGGGATATGGATATGCTGCACCAGAGAAGGTGCTCCCAGGGGGCAGGCGGACTACTGCTCTTTGCTCAAGATCATTTTCTCGCGCTCACTGCGTCGCTTGGGCAGCGCATCCTGCTTTGTGTGCTTGCGGACGTTCTCGTGGCGCCTCTTGAGAGACATGAGCTCCTCCCGCTTGATCTCCCGAGCCTTCATGATTGGCTTGGGCACATGGCGCTGGCGCTTGATTCGGCGAATCTCGGGCATGTGCGAGTAGCGCTTGACCAACGCTTGATCGTACTCGAGCTTTGCGCGCTGGCGGCCGCTCTTGATGCCGCTGCGGTCGGAGGCCTTGGAGCGCCATAGTCGAACGTTGCCGTCGTCGGAACCGGACAGGATGTAGTTGTTGTCGGGGGTAAATCTGGCCGAGAAAACACTGCTTGATATTAGAAAAAGACATTCCAGAAAAGGAGAAACGACAACTTACCGCTGCATTCTCTTTGTGTGGTAAATATCGCGCGAATGGCCCTGGGCTCTGTTCCAGAGTCGAACCGTACGGTCGTAAGATGCCGTCACGAGCTCCTCGCCCGTCGGGCTGAACTCGACGTCCATGACAGCAGCAACGTGGTCCTTGAGCACATTCAGGGCACGATCCATCTTTCGCATGTCGAAGATATACGCGTTGTGGTCTTCGTTGGCCACGGCGAAGTTAAAGGCTTCCATGGGGTTCCACGCAATAGCGTTCGACGCCAAGCGGAGCGTCATCTTGCTGAGAGGCGACGAAGTTCGCAAGTCGTACATGATAACAGAGCGATCAATGCCGGTCGAAGCGAGAATCGATGTCTCCGTCTGGTTGAAAGCGACCGAGGTGATGGAGTCGACGTTGGTGGGCCAGTGCAGCGTCTGCGAAGGCGTCGAAGACGGCCGTGAAAGGTCATAGATGGAAATCTGGGACGATGACACCGCAAAGAAAGGCTGATCCCGGTGGTGCGAAATGCTGTTAAATGCGCCTTGGCCCAGATAGGTTGCCACAGGCGGGGAATCGGACGTGGAGTTGTATGGGTCGAACAGTTTCACCGTTCGATCGCTCGCACACGACAGTAGCTTTCGATCGGGAGTCCAGCACATTCCTTTCACGATGTTCTCATGCGCTTGAGTATTCCACACCTCACCCCGAGTCGGCAGATCCCACACCTTGATGACGCCGTCGCCGCTGCCGCTGGCGAACCGATCTAACGACCCAGGATCCTTCGCCATAGAATAGACACCATCTACGTGGCCATCTCCCATCTGACCGAGGAACGGCGCCGCAAACAACCGCTCCAGTTTGACAGCATTGAGCGCTCTGGTGTATTCACGAGCTCGTTCGAATGGATGCTGATTCGGGTCTAAATTCCGGGGCTGTCGAACGACGCCTGTCCCGGGGGCCTGCTGCGAGGCGGTAGGGCGAGAAAGCGCTTTGATTTTCTAAGGTCAAGGTAATCAGTAAGATTATTCCGAATATTTCCTCACAAGAAGGAAACTCACCATGGCGCTTTTGTTGGGGCTATGTGATAAAAAGACGGAATTAATTTCTGGTAGGAAATTTTTTAGTATATTCGAAAAAGTATGGTTGATGTTTGTTCTGTTTGACAAAGTAGCCCGCGGGCGGTGAGCAGCAGCAGCAGCAGCAGGAGCAGCGCAACAGCTCCCGGTGACGACTTCGTCAGCCATCGCCAGCCTATCCTACCTCCATCAACTATACACATACATTGACCATCCTCCTTCCTCGCCGTGAGGCTCGTTATCCTCCATATCTGACATCTTTTTCTCGAAACTTTACGCCCCTTAATTACTCTAGAATACTTCTCCCCCATTCCTGAAAGTCATGGCGACGTCGTCCTCGTCGACCGCTGAGCGGATACAACAAGCTCGGGAGATCCAGAAGAAGGATCCCTCCAAGGCTGGCACCGTCTACCAGGAGATCCTTGCCCAAGGTCCAGGGTCGTCGGAATCTTCGTCTCGCAACTATGAGAATGCCTTGATTGGGCTGGGACAAGTCTATCGAGATGAGAAGAAGGCGAATGAGATGGCGGAGCTCATCCAGACCAGCCGGGATTCATTCTCGTCATTCGCCAAAGCAAAGACGGCCAAAATTGGTAAGTTGGGTCTAGCATAATGCTCTGCAATGTCTGGTCTAATGGAATCTCTTTTTACGAATAGTCCGCCAGCTGTTGGACCTTTTCAGCGAAATCCCGAACACCCTCGATAGCCAAACTGCCGTCATCCAGTCCTGCATCGAATGGGCAATTGCCGAACGACGGTCATTCCTTCGCCAAAACCTCCAGGTCCGCCTGGTAGCTATCTACATGCAGAAACAGACCTACTATGACGCTCTTACCCTTATCAACCCCCTCCTGCGGGAGCTGAAGCGCCTGGATGACAAGCTCATGTTGGTCGAGGTGCAGTTGTTGGAGTCCCGTGTGTATCACGCTCTGGGGAACCAGGCCAAGGCCCGTGCAGCACTGACCGCTGCCCGAACTTCTGCTGCCTCCGTCTACACGCCGCCTACCTTGCAAGCTAGTCTGGACATGCAGAGTGGTATGCTCCACGCGGAGGACAAAGACTTCAACACTTCATATTCGTACTTCATTGAGGCCTTGGAGGGGTACAGCTCGCTCGATGAGAGCGAAAAGGCGACCGCAGCGCTCCAGTACATGCTGCTTTGCAAGATCATGTTGAATCTCGTGGACGACGTGACGAACCTGCTAGGTTCCAAGCAAGCCCAGAAATATGCCAGTCCACGCCTGGAGGCTATGAAGGCTGTGGCCCGAGCCCACTCCAACCGGTCCCTGGAGCAGTACGAACAATCCCTGTCGGATTATCGATTCGAGCTGGGCAGTGATGTGTTTATCCGTAACCACCTTCGTCGACTGTACGACGCCATGCTGGAGCAGAACCTGATCAAGGTCATCGAACCGTTCAGCCGCGTCGAGCTGGACCACATCTCCAAGATGGTCGGGCTAGACACACAGCAGGTGGAACGGAAGCTGTCCCAAATGATCCTGGATAAGGTGATCATTGGCGTGTTGGACCAGGGTGCGGGATGCTTGATCGTCTTTGACGAGACAGAGCGCGACCAAGCGTACGACGCGGCCTTGGACACCATCGAGAAGCTTAGCAATGTGGTGGAAGAGCTGTACACTAATCAGGCATCGCTACTGGAGTAAGAGGCGGTGGCGGGTTGGTGGTTATGTTAAGGAATGATATAGCATCATAAATGAATATTACCTGGTTCTATAATTATTTAATTAGATAGAGTCTGTAATCTGTCAAGTCCTAATCTATATCCAATTCAGACAATTAAGGACAGTCACTGGGCAAGATAGTGGAACCGATGATACTGGTGCCTAAGGTGTCAACAATGCCTAAAACGGGATAGCGTGATCGCGATGAAAGAATCGCGACTCGTTCATCTCTTGATCCGCCTGGGGAAGCGTAAATGACTTAGCCTGTCTCCCCTCGGCCCATCCAAATTTCTCGGTTTCATCCCCCAGGTGTCTCCGAACCTTGTTATAACCCTTGCGGGCTTACTTTTACCCTATCGCCACCAACCATGAATGCCCCAATGCCACCCAACTACGGGCGCGGCTTCCCTCAGGCCGCCCAGCGCTCTCCTGCCACGCCTCGTCGCGGGCCCCCGGGACCACCAGGTTCGTTCCTGCCACCCCTTGATTCTCGGGATCTAATTTATATTTGGGTTTGCTTGCCCCTGTCTAACATTCTATCTGTTCAGGACCACCTATGCCCATGCCCATGCCACAACACGCTGTTCCACCCCAGTACATGACTGCCCAACGCCCCATGGGGACCTTCCCCAACGACGCGGCCCTCCGTCGCAGTCGCAAGCCCACGGACAAGAACATCCCCGATGACGTCGAGGAAGTGATTATCGGAGATGGCGTACAGCAGTACAAGAGCCTGCGCGAACTCGAGAAGCGACTGGACATCGCCATTGTGCGAAAGCGTCTCGACATCCAGGACTCGATCAGCAAGACCGTCAAAAAGTACCGCACGATGCGCATTTGGATCTCGAACACAGTTGAGGGCCAGCCGTGGCAGAGCAACGATGCCCAGAACAGCATGGCCCCAGGGAGCAATCCGGGCTCCGGGAGTTACAAGGTGCGCGTCGAGGGCCGCCTGCTGGACGACGGCTCCGACACCACGGCGCCCGAGGACAGCGAAGACGAGGATGAGGACGAGGAGAAGGAGCAGGATCAGGCAAATGGAGACGCGATGGATCATGATGGCTCCTCGGAGGCCAACAAGTCGGCTCCGTCTAAGCGGGCTAAGCAGCGCTTCTCGCATTTCTTCAAGGCGATCACGGTCGATTTTGAGAAGTCGTCGACCGCGAACCCGGAGGAGGTTAAGCCTGTTCACTGGGTCAAGCCTCAGCTGCCGGCTAACGCTGTGACGCTGCCGCCTACCGCGGATTTTGATTCCCTGGAGTTCTCGCGAGCTTCGCAGGATAATCTGAATGTTACCGTTAGTCTCGTTAGGGATGAGACGCCTGAGCGATACAAGTTGAGCAAGGAGCTGGCGGAGGTTCTCGATGTCGAGGAAGAAACCCGGAGTGGCATCGTTCTGGGCATCTGGGACTACATTCGCGCGATGGGACTGCAGGAAGATGAAGAGAAGCGGTTAGTCCGCTGTGACGATCGGCTGCGAGCGGTACGTGTTCCACTCGAACCTTTATCCTTCTATTTTTTTGTCTCTCCTGAAGCTAACATTGTGGATGTGTGATAGATCTTCGGCCGGGATCAGATGTTCTTCCCTCAAATCCCCGAAAGCATCGGACCCCACACCAGCCCCATCGAGCCGATCAAGCTCCCCTTCACCATCCGCGTCGACGAGGAGTTCCAAAAGTCCCCGATGCCCACGATCTACGATATCCAAGTAGCCGTGGAGGACCCGCTCCGTTCCAAGATGATCTCCCTGACGCAGAACCCGCAGTACTCTGGCGGCATGCGCCAGATCTCCACGCTGGACGACCAGGTGGCGCTCATCATCCAGGCCCTGACACACTCGCGCGCTCGCCACTCATTCTACACCGCCCTGAGCAAGGATCCCGCTACCTTCGTCCGGCGCTGGGTCAACTCCCAGCGCCGGGACCTCGAAACCATCCTCGGCGAAGCCACCCGCGGCGGCGGCGAAGACGGAAGTGGGCCTGAGTTTCGCCGCGGCGGTCCCAATAGTGCTTGGGATACGCCTGTTGCGCGTGAAGCGGTGCGGTACATGCTTGCCAAGCCGGAGGCTATCATGGGACGGTAAGATCTGTCTCTGTTTTTGTGTTGTGTAGAATAAGTCTGGCGGTGTGTTCTTTACTTGCTCTCGTTGTTCTATCTAGTACTATTGGTGGCGGGGCGGGGGCGCTCTTATGGTGTTTGTTTGGATGGGCTTTTTTTTTCTTAGCTATATTTTTGAATGAATTGATTCATAATGGATGCAATACTTGGAATTTTTTCTTTGCATAAATTGAAAGGGGCATGATAGAATATCAATAATTCGCGTTTCATTCAAATTTCTAGGATACTATCTTTATTCTGGTTCAGAGCTGCGTATCACTCCAGCTCTAGCTTACTCTTCAGAAGCAGACTGTCGGATCCACGACAGTTATAATTATACTGATAGCCAAAACCGCACTCCAAATAGCACACCAACTTATCTCTGCCGTGAGAAATTGCCAAGATAATAGATAGAAGACGCAAGCCCCAGTCGTTACGAAGACCGTCGAAGGCGTATTGTATTATATCAATAAAAAAAAAAAAACGAATAGATCTTGTTTGTGCGTAGTGCTAGAGGCACATAACATCCCACTCACTATCTACAGAGCTAACGCCGCATACCGCATATAGTAGTACGATAGGTAACGAGTAGCTAGAGAGAGAGAGATTGGGAGAGTATAGGGGGTGAGAAAGAAGAAGATGAAGAGCGATTAAGCTCTCCGAGTCCGCTTCTTCAGCTCAGCGCTTTTCGCGGCATCCGCTCCCGACGCAGCCTTCTGCTGCGAAGCTTGATCGCCCAGGTATAGCGAGCCCTCCTTTTCCTTCAGCTTCGTGGCAGCGTCGAGCACGGCCTTCTGGGCAATATCCTCCTTAGCGGTCTGAGAAGCGGGCTTGTCCTTGTTTTCGGGACGGAACCGCTTCAGGACGGTCTCGACCATCTTCGAGAACCAGTAGTAGTTCAGCGAGTTGAGGATCAGGTTGGAGGCGACGTAGGTGAGGACCAGCCAGGTGGGGACGCCGCCAGCGGTGTGGGACGCGTACTTGGAGATTTCGGCACCGGCGCGAGCGCACGCCTCGTCGACGCAGAGGGCGCCGTCGCGGAGCTGGAAGACCTGCGTGGTGATGTCGACGGGGTTCAGGGCAGAAACGCCCGTGGCGTCCCAGGTTTGCTTCAGGGCGTACCACATGTCCTTGTAGACGAGGACGGACTGCCAGGTGCCCCAGATGAGGCGGCAGGAGAAGAATGTGGAGAGGAGCGCCATGCCGTTGTACCATTGGAGATCGCTGCCGGTCATGTTGAGCTTGTCGAGGAACCAGTGGATGTTGAGGAAGGGGGAGGAGAGCTCGTAGAGGATGAAGACGGGGCAATAGTAGTTCACGAAGGGTCTCTGTTTTGGGAAGTTTGTCTGTGGTTAGTTGGGTCTTTGATGTGGATGTGGAGAACGTACAAAGCCGAAACTGAATACCCAGAGGGCACTGATGGCATGGAACAGCATGCCGATGCCGAACATGCGGAGGTGCATCGTGCTGACGATGAGATCATAGACGAAGTATCCCATGGCCATGGATCCTACCATAGCGCAGCCACCGGTATACCCGTAGACGCGCTCGCCGACGGTCATGGACTGGCGTTCCTTGTCGGTGAACATGACCCACAGGGCCAGAACGCAGATGGAGATGCTCTGGATCAGAGAGACAACATGGACGTCCCAGTTGAGCTTGGTGCGCTTGTTGAGATTGGGATAGTGGCGGGGGAAGAGGATCGGGGAGAGCCATGGGGACAGCACCGAGTGGATGAACTGGTAGCCTAGAAAGAAGATGATAACCTCATGGAAGTGATCGGAGAGGCCAGGCAGGTTGACTCGCTGGGCCCAGGGGTCGACGAAGTCTCGCAGCCATGCTGGCGGCGGCGGTATCGGGTCCAACATGCCGGTGGTTCAGACCGACGGGTTGGTAGGTAGATGATGATGTAGATGGTGGCACAGCAAACACCCCAGCAGGAAACACAAGGATGCAAGAAGGGTCGCTTGTTAAGTAAGCGGGGAAGAGGGAAAGGTGGACTAGAGTCCAGCCATGCTGAATGAGGGGGAAGAGAAACAAGGAAAGGATTGGATCGACGATATATAAGACAACAACCGGTCTGGAGCTGCCTACACCTTCAGGCTGCCAAGGGAAAACGCTGGCGAATGATACCGAGGCCTGACTGCCTCGTCGCCTGAATGCCTGACAGTTGGGAATTTGTTGGGACCGCTGACTCAGCCACGTGACACCTGGACTCGGCAGTCATCTGACCAATCACTTGATCTGCTCATCCAGCCGGACTATAGACTTTCTTCTGCCCATCTTCCCTCCATCAGACAGACCAGATGGTTCAGGGTGATGCTTTCTCATGTTCAAACCCTTGTCAATGTGATCGATTGGCATTCTGCATCGTCCAGACCGCAATATGCAGGTCTGTCTATCCCTGCGGTTAAAATGACCGCTTGTATTTACCCAGACAACACAGCGGACGCCACATATACAGGGACATCCCACAAACATGTCCCATAAAGGTTGGCCATGAAGGCTGGCTCCACAAGACTTGCCCTATCGTGCGACACCTTGCATGCTACTATTGAACTTGATAACATGGACGTGCAGTGAGACTGGTCGGGGATGTGGCTTGGTGTGGTTTCACAGGCGACTTACCTTACCTACGATGGTAGGAGCATAATCTCTTGTCGGGTGGCTTACCTGACATCTTTCATGTCTGCTACTTTACTCAATCAAGGCTGACATCTCTCATCTCACCATCTCTTATTCTGATCTCTTGTAAACGGCCATCCTATCTCTTCCAGGAGAAACTCAACATGAAAGACAGTCAATCCCTCATCCAATGGGCTAGGATTTTCGCCCAGCACAAAAGCATCGAGTTTGTATGGCTCCAATTCGTGAACAACAGTGGCAACACGCTCGTCCGTATTCTTCCAGTAGCCAAGTTCACGAGCATGCTCCAGACAGACAGGCTGCTTACCCTCGCACAAGCAATATGGTACCTCGTGCCAGGCGATACCATCGCCGAAGGCGGCACACCATCAGAGGCATTTAGCCTGCTACCAGACTTGAACACAGCGTATATACAGCCCGGATCCCAGGGAACACGATTGCTTGTTCAATGCGACTGCGTGCGCAAGAACGATTCAACCCAGCAAGCGCCAGAGTGCGCGCGCACCCGTCTGCGCCTCTTGGACGACACCCTCAATCACCAGCTGGGGGCTGCGATTCGCGTCGGATTCGAAGTAGAAGTCATCTTCATGCGACCTCAGAAACACTCACAAGCCGACGGATCCACGAAGACGACCTACGCCCCAACGGGGCTCTTGCACACCTTCTCCAACGTCACACCCGAAGACTACGAATACCTCGACCTCGTCGAGGCCATATCACGCGCGCTCGCCGATGTCGGCGTCCCGCTCGAGCTCTTCCACGCCGAAGCCGCTCCAGGCCAGTGGGAGTTCGTGCTCCCGCCCGAGCGCCCCGTTCAAGCAGTCGACATGCTAGTCAAAGCCCGCGACGTCATCCGCACCGTGGCGCGCTCATTTGGCCTACACGCCACGCTCCACCCACGGCCCTTGCCAGGACATGCAGGCACAGGATCCCACGTTCACATGTCCGTCAACGACCCAGCCACGGGGGCCCCCTCACCAGCGGCACAAGCCGAGCCGTTCTTCGCAGGCATCCTAGCACACCTGCCCTCGGTTCTGGCATTCACGTTATCCCAGGAAGCAAGCTACTCGCGCGTCGCGACGGGCCTCTTCAGCGGCGGTGAATATGCGTCCTGGGGGTGGGAGAATAAGGAGATAGCGCTGCGGCGGATCGAGGACAACCGGTTCGAGCTGAAACTGTTGGACGGGCTGGCGAACCCGTACCTGGCGCTGTCGGCACTGCTGTCGGCTGGGATAGACGGCCTACGGGAAAAGATGGACCTCACTGCTGGGCCGAGCGACGTGGCGCCAGCTCTTCTCTCGCAGGATGACAGGAAGAAATTGGGGATAACGGTTCAGTTGCCGCATACGCTTGAGGAGAGTCTAGCTGCGCTTGAGACGGACCATGTTATATGCGAGTTGCTAGGGCGTAAGCTGATATATCCGTATGTGTGTACGAAGCGAGGGGAAGACAAGGTGCTTGCCAGTATGGATGCTGAGGAGAGGCGGATGTGGATCATTTCTAGATACTAGGTGTAATCTGTTAATCCCGGGATGTAGATGGAGGGGTCTCAGTGGTTACGTGACGTCAAGGTCATCGAGGGTCAGTTTGTAAGAGAAGCACATGGTGTGGGAAGGGCCATCGCGCGACGATCACTGGGACTCCGATGTTTGTACGACTTATGTACTAGTACTACTAGTACTAGAATATAAAAGAATAGTTAACTGGTTTCTCAAATTATATTTTATACTTGACTCAGGGCAATATGAAATTTATCTTGGGATGTATAAGACGATATCAAAACCACACAATTTCACCTGAATGGTTTTATCTTTTGGTTTGAAATCTATATCCCTGATATTGAAGAAGTTGTTTGGCTTTGAAGTTGGTGATGCTTATCATCCTTAGACATGTATATCTTAACTACTGAACTGTTATGTCACCTCATCACGTTTGGAAACCTATAAGAATTAGCTTATATCACCAAGTATGTTCAATTTTTTTGAGAAACAAGAATGTATGCTTGTTCATATAAGATCGATAAAAGATAAGGGTAAGTAAATACGAGGGCATAAACTGGTAAGTAGGAGGTAATGTATACCTAAAGCGGCTAGTTTGGGGGATGCGAATTCTAGCGGATCCCCCCGGATTCTGACCCCTAGAATCCGGTCCCATTCGGTGTCTTTCCCCCCCCCCCCCTGGTCCCGACCCCAATTCGGTGGGGCAGTTTGGCGCCGGGGTTCCAGCTGCCCACTCTAATTGTATGAGAAGCAAATAAGTAGAGGCTAACAGCTGGGTAGAGTTCATAGTTTGCTGTTGCTCATAAAAAGGGTAAATCTCTGGAGCATCGAACGCTTGATTTACACACACATTTATCATGGGTCGGTCTACCGTAATTGAGCCTATCTGCTACAGAAAGCAAGAGTCTCGACAGTTGGAACTCGGATATTGAACCTCCAAATAAGACGGTTGAAATTTCCTTGTCCGAACTGATTATGTACAAGTCTATATACAGACACAAGATAGCATAGTCCCCCACAGTTTGACCCATGATATCATCATTTCTCCCGCTACTGCTCACCAGTCCGGAATACCTCAAAAATACGTAAAAGGTCACACTGCTGGATTCTGCTCCATAGCTCGAGTCACAAGATCACTTCATGTTAAGGTCAGCCTAGCTCTCTTCTACTGTCTACTCTTATAACCGGGAAGAGTAAGGTGGGCAGGTGGCGTACGTATCCATATACGCGCGGAACTTCACAATCTTGTGCTGGTCATTGAACGTGACAAGCCAAGAGTATTCGTTTGTGAAAGGTAGCCCGTTCTTGCAGTTGACATCGACGACCTTGAGTTCGACAGCCGCCTGGTTTCCTTCGCAGATGATATCCTGGACTTGGAGCTTCAGCGGACTGGCCCAGGTGCTAGAAAGGGCTCTGGTTCCCTCCTGGAATTCCCGCGCAGACTTATAGTGGCCGGAAATTTTGCAAAATGTGCCTGGAGTGAATTGGTTGAGAGTATGCTGGTTGGGGACTTGTTCGTGGACATTGGAAGGGTCACTGGCATAAGATGGAGTGTACTGATCGCACTGTACCTTTCACCACCCAATGGACGTTGGGGTGCACATGGTTAAAAAAGCCGGCCATGTCGCCTTGAGCGATGTGGTCGAATATTTTTTCAACTTCTTGTTTGCTAGGCATTGTGAAAAAAAAACGGTCCATAGGGGGTTGGATTTATTGTTTGGGTTATAGGACAGCTTGCTTAGGACCAGATATAAATCAAGTTATGCCAGGGGATGTGGAGGGACTAACAGATGAGGGGCGAGACAACAGGAACCCGTGGAACCCATATATCGCGAATTTATTTCCATGTTTTCCTCGGTACAATCTACTTCATGACGATGGCCGGTATTCCTAATGTACTAGTGGGTCATTTCATGATTTCCGGTGGAGCCGAACGGCGTAGTTTCTGATCAACGCCCGGTGAAGGGCTGTGTTGGAAGAGACAATTCGGCTGCCATGGTTCTATCTACATGGTAAAAGGATTTGCCATACAAAACACAAGTTATCAATAAAGAGCTCACTACGGATGACCCTCCACTTCACGTGCTGACAGTTCTGTAAAAGAAGGAGGTCTGGCTATTGAGGCCGCCAGCAATGGTATGTCATGGGTTGTGTCAAGTCTCGGAAATTAGATCTTACTCTGAGCTGGTGCTTCTGTATAGAGTGACTCTGACCTCCGTATGGCATCAATGGCTTCCGATTCTATGCGTGTAAGGAGCTGCCGGCAGGTCGGGATGTCATTGATAAGACCCATGACTTGACCAGCATACCACACCTAATGTAGCTTGTTAGCTCTTGTACGAGTACTGATCGCTCTTGGTTTATGATACTCACGCCATACTCAACATCACCATTTAAATAAACTTGTCGGCCCCGTTTACCGTCAACATAAGGCTGGATCTCTTTGAAGTCACCGGTCTGGCTGCTCTTCTCGAGTTGCACCGCTTCTTGTGTAACCTTGTTGCGAAAAAGCCTCGAGGTGTTCTTCCATCGACGTAAGACAAGGTCTGTTTGATGCTCGTTGGCAGCCACAATTGCCTTTTTGACGTTAAGGTGGATCGGCGCCTCGACAGTGGCCATGAAACGGGTACCCATATTGATCCCTTCGGCGCCCAAGGCAAGTGCTGCTGCCAACCCGTTGCCATCTGCAAACCCCCCAGAAGCAATGAACGGAACCCCTAACACCTGTCTTGCCCGACTTAACAAGATAAAGTTTGTGAGATCGTGTTCCCCGACATGACCCGCGCATTCGAACCCGTCAATGGACAAAAAATCAACCCCCAATTTGACGGCCGACTTGGCATGTTTTATGGTGGTACACTTGTGCAAGATAGTCACATTCGCCTTCTTGAGCTTCTCAATCACCGGGCCCGGGTTGTTTCCAGCTGTCTCGACAATGCGGATACCTTCTTCGATAATCACTTGGGCGTACGCTTGATAGTCTGGAGGTACGATGGCAGGGAGAAGGGTCAAGTTGACACCAAACGGCTTATCAGTCATGATCCTGCATCTGCGAATCTCTTCTCGTAGGGCGTTCGGCGTTGGCTGGGTGAGTGCCGTGAGCTGCAGCGGGTGTCAGAACATTCGTGGTCCAGAGAGATTTCGAACTTCATCTTTTTTCAAGATCTCGCCATCGTGAAAAATAGACACGCACAATTCCCAGACCGCCAGCATTGCTGACCGCGGAGGCCATCTCTGCGTATCCGACCCATTGCATACCACCCTGTACCACAGGAACTGTTTTTGTTGCCATTAGCAAGTAGCTCCACGAATTGACAATGCCGGTATCAACTCACTTGATATCCCAAGTTTCCTAGTCAGGGCTGTGTTGAAAGGCATCGTGTAAATGAGCAGCGAACTGCAGAATTTTTTGGTACAGCTTTGAGAATTTTTATAAGAACATGGATCACGATGGGAACGTCTTATATTTTTAGCCAGATTAAATACAGGTGATGAGAAATCACCAGATATCGCCGATATTGCATCGCTTCGCGGTTGATCACTAAACAGATATGTCCGGGCAAGCTGAGACAGTATAGGCTATGATAATCCTCTCGGACAAATAGAAAACATGACGGGGTCAAGTGGGGCCAATCTTCGCATGACAAGGTTGATTGATTGATTGATTGAGGACAATCTGGAGAATGATCATCATGGGGTAGTTTGACATACCCCATTAATGGGTAACTAAGGGAATGCCCAGGATACCAGCTTACTATACAACGCAACGGAAAGTGGGTCGCTGTATGTTCATGGGGTTGGTAACCGCTTCATGGGCACTAGCGGCTATGAACTGCCGCGCTGTAGTTTCTAGGAGTAATTTCCAATCCACCTTCCCGACCGTACCAAAGGCGATCAAACCGAGGTCTTAAGGTGTGATTAGTATTCACTCCAGTCAGTTCTTGATCCTACAATTGATTACCGCTTCACAATCATCATCGACTGGAATTGTAGACCAATCAAACCTAAGCAAGCAGCATCACTACCTAGCTCCTTGCCCTTCACATAAGAAGACGGCATTTTATATCCCATCTATTCCTCCATCAGCTTTCAAAACTTCCAACTCCAAATCCCCCCCCAAAAAACCCCTCAGGCACGGACAACCACGATCTCTCATCCTGTCCGCCTGGCAACACACTTCACATACTCAGCCATGTCATTCAACCCACAGAAGAAACCCGTGATTGCGGTCGTCGGCGCCGGCCCGGGAATAGGCGAAGCGGTAGCACGACGCTTCGTTCAAGAAGGCTTCGTCGTGGCCCTACTCGCGCGCACAGAGGACAAGCTACAAACGATGAGCACCGGCATCGAGGCCGACTTTGGGAAACATACTGCCCGCTACTACATCACTGATCTTCGAGTCGAGAGCCAGATTATCTCGAGTTTTAAATCCATCAAAGAAGAGCTTGGCCCCGTGGATGTCCTGGTGTACAACGCGGGCGCGAGACGTGTAAATGGGCGCTCGATTCTAGACACCACGACGGAAGAATTCGAAAACTTCACCAAGATCAACTTGTTTGGCGCGTTCTGGTCCACCAAATGCGTGCTCCCCGACATGATATCTGCCTCAAAGGGCACTATCATCTTCACCGGGGCTACCGGCTCACTTCGCGGCATGCCCGGCCTGTCCAGCTTCTCGCCTGGTAAGTTTGGACTTCGGTCTTTGGCACAGATCATCACGCGGGAGTATCAGAGTCAGGGTATCCATGGCGCGCATCTCATTATTGATGGTCCGGTGGATGGGAAGTTAATTGGGGGGGTCATGAGGAGGAAGTGGGAACAGGCGGGGGAGAAGGAGAAGTTAGAGGAGACGGATAGGTTTGTTATGCAGCCAACCGACTTGGCCAAAATATATTGGTATCTGCATACCCAGCCGAGAAGCGCGTGGACCCAGGAGTTGGATGTTAGGGCTCAGAACGAGACAATGTTTTCAAAGTTGTGAGCGCCGGGTGCTCATGTCAGAGAGCTGCGTTCCATAAAACCATATTCAACAATAATAGCCATTATATCAATCATCAAAACCAGATCATACATTATCTTTACTATTAAATGCCAATAAACACAACCTCGAAAGAATTCTTTCCCTCTCGGCCCTAGCATCTAAATCCTGCGTTCACGTTCTCTAAGGCTGAGTATACAGACAAAAACACATTCGCTGAATCCTCTGATTGTATTGTATCTCTCGATATTCTCAATACTGTTTCTTCATAATTTGTCCTACAATATCGCTCTCTACCATCCTATAAAATACCATGTGCACAAAATGGAGCCCTATCAGCTAGAACTTCTGACCTATGATCCGTGACAGCGCACGGAGGCCGAGTTTCCCGGGCGAGAAGCTGCCCAAAACAACCCTATTGATGATTACAATTTCAATGTTGAGGTGGTTGGTAAAGAATTATTGTAGTTGCTTACCCGTATAATATTTAAAGTCTGTTATTTATGAACTGAAAATCATGGGTAGAATCTCTAAACTCTGGTTATTATTCGCCGCAGCATCTACGAAACGACACTGTCCTTCCGTAACTCAACCTGCTGATCAACCACATCTCCAACCTGATCCTCCATTCCTTTAAACTTGATTCCCAGTTCTCTCCCAGCTTTACTGGCATCAAATCTATACGCCTCCGTGCTCGCGTCTCCCAGTTTCAACCCAAACGGCATAGCCGGATACCGCTCCCTCAAAAATTTCGCAACATCCACCCACGAGCGACTCTCAGAGGCAAGCAAATAGGAATTCAGGCCTTTGACATCATCCCGTAATGCCCTGACATGCGCCTCGGCGACATCGTTGATATGCACGCCCCGGAATTGACCGACGAGCGGCTTGTCGGACATGAGCGATTGGAAGAGCATTCCGGGCGTTCCGCCGATTTCGTCTGCTGTTTCTTGAAGGATATTGCGGCCAAACACATAGACAGGATGTAGAGTTACGATGTCGAAGTGTGGATGATTCTGCTCCGCGATCTCCAGTGTGGCTTTGTGAGATGCGAGTTTGCTGATATGATATTGGGCCATGGGGTCGAGATCAGGAACCTTGGACGAGTCGAAGCTGCACTCAACCTCGTCATTTTCTATCAAGTGGTTAGTAAGAGTGCTCGAAGCATGGACATGATTCTAATTCACCTGTTACTTCAAGTCCATCATTCGCCGAATTCAGTGGTACAAATGCCAGCACCGAAGACGTGATGACTACCTTTCTGATAGAAGAGACCTCCAATGCCGACTGCAGCATCGATGTAGTTCCTTTCACAGCGGGTGTGAGTAGATCAGTATTCCCCGGAGTCGGCAGGGGAGACGCTATATGCAAGACATATTCCACATCTCGCAACGCACGATCATAACATCCACTGATGGTTAAGTCAGGCACAGTTATAAAGTCTAGATCATCGACATATTGGGAGAGTATGCGCCGCAGCTTATCAGCCTGTTGTTCACGGCGAATGACAAGTCGTACTCTGTATCCGGCTTCCAGGACGCGGAGGGTAGTTGTTGAGCCAATAAAGCCGGTAGACCCGGTGATTAAGGCGAGTGGTTTCATCCTTATCTGGTATACAGGCACGCAAAAGTTGCTGGGATTGAATCGGAAGAAGATCCATGATGTCTTATATGAACTGCCGGCGACCGACGAGGTTCCCTCGTGGCGACCAGCATTTCTAATCATGCATGTAGCCTTGACTGGACCTTGCCTTGAGGTAGCCGAAAATGATTCGTATGATTAGTGATCAACATACCAATCTCGGACTGCATTAGTAAAAATGTATAGTTCATTCCCGAGCAGTCGTCGGTCTAGATATAGATTGGTACCTTGGCACCTTGACCTCCGATCTGTGGTCTGTGTTGCATCCATAGTGTCATTTCACATTCCCAACTCCAGAGGCAGGCAAGGCGGAGGAGGTCTTTGGTCACCTATCGCCTACACCCTGATTTACTATAGTATCGAGGCCGCTTTTATTGACATTGTCCATATCAGAAATAATTATAATGATAAGAGATAAAAGAGATACTCTTATGAAATAAGAGTAAACTATAAATAAACATTTCTCATCATAGGTTAGGGGCCCTTGTTCATAGAATTAAGTTTTCTCTCTCTTCGCATCCGTGCTTGAGCTGCTAAATGGTAGCAAGTCCTTGTTTTGATCCAACGGGTCTCTTTCAGATATCTGTTTTACGTATCTTCCACCTGTGCTTCTATTGCTTGATGATACTAGGTTTATCAGATATCAGGAGCTGAACTCGCGGATTAATTATTGGTATTGACTACCTCTGGCTATGGAACAGCGACACTGTTTGATAATGATATACATGCAAGAGCTCACCTGGGACATTGCCCGCTAGGTGGGCGCTGGTGGGAATTTCTTGAATATATGTATTACTTGACTAAGTTAATTAGTGTTGTAGTATATTGCAGTATGCGTGTGTCATTGGCTGTTTTGGGATAACTCACTATCGGCTAACCACCATAGATATTTGCTAAAGTTTGGTCTGAAGTTGCAATCTGATCTTGACTATCCCATTTTACTAAAGACACGGGGAGCGATTGATCTAACCCGGTCAGAGACTGTCATATGGGATTAGATATTCTGATATAGCTCACTATCAGCCCATGTTATCAGCTCGCGGTACTTGGTAGACTCGTCTTTTGAGTATGTTTACCAGCCTGACTAGTCTAACAACGTCATTGAACCGTGTAGTCTCGTTGGGGGCTTGTAGATACCCATTAGGGTCTTTGTGTTTTAAACGAGTCTGATGGGAAAGACATGGTCAGGGAAATATCCCGGCCATTGCACCGGCATTTTGGTCAGGCTTGATATGACTAATATCGCAACATAAGATAAAAAAATAGGAGAAATGCTTAAGAAGAAGGGAGAAATTCTCTTTCTTTCTTGAAGATGAAGCTGGACAGGGACTTGCCATCCAGTCAGTTCATTGATTTGGCATACATCTGAAACAATGAATTAGGGTTTCTAGTATCACTTCTCAATATTAATCCACCTCATACCTCCCTCTGGTATCTGGGTATGTAGGCAAAAAGCTTGATAAGAATCTCAAAACAAGGGTGGTTTGTAGTTAGAAACGGTTATACTTCTTGAAAATACTATGGTGAATGGCTAGCCCTAGAGATATAGTAAAGACCGTAGATGTCGAGATAAGTTAAATGAAATATACCAAATGGCGTATTGTCTAGGTTAGTAGACTATCTGAAGCATCATCCAGATATATTTGAGCCGAAGTCACAAGATAATTAGCCTTAATTCGTCTCGACAACCTCTGTAGATACCTGCTAGGTATATAAAGCCTAGCCAATGAGTTGCTAACGGCCAATGTCACGAATATTGTTAGCCCTCGCTCTCGCTTGGAAGGCACGGCTTTCCTCATCCACTCCGTGCACACCGATCAGATACTGCTTGAATTCCCGAGTCATATTGCAGACCTGCTCAAAGTCTTTCTGGTCCAGCGTGGGCCCATCGCCTTTGGTCTTGTCCGGCTTTTGAGAGAATCGGAATTCGGCGAGCGTGACGGCTGTCTGGAAGACTAGATAAGAGGAGATGATGTTTCAGTATCTTGACTCAATCCATTCACTCAGATAATGGTTGTGGCTCTACCATTGCGAATCTCCCGCCCGTTCCATTCTATCTTGCTAATCACTTCATCTTCCAGAACATATTGTTTTGCGCGTCGAGTGATGATGAAGTCCTGGCGCTCGTCGGTCAGCTTGTCAAAAAATTGCTCCCAGATTTTTCTTCGATCATCTTCTTTCAATTTCTCGTAGCGAATGACGACATGGATTCGTGAGATAAAGGCATCGTCGAAATGACCAACCCGGTTGGTAGTCAGGAACAAGATGCCTCGGTAGTACTCAATGCATCGAAGGAACACTAGGAGAGAACACGATGAGGTTCCATCAATGAGGCTGGGTAGGGATAGAATTGAGACTGACCAGACACCAGGCTATTGCGCTTCAAATCCGTAATTTGCCTTTTCTCGAGGTAAACATCCGCCTCGTCGATGAGCATGATCGCGCCCCATTTCTCGGCCAGCCGAAACCACTTGGAGAGCTGATTCTCTAATTCGAGTTCATCCGTCCCGATGTCTCCACAAGTCAGGGAGAGAAGCGCTCGGCCGGTATACTCAGCAATACATTCTAGATGAGTTAACATGTAAACGGTGTTTTTTTGCTCGATCTTATCCAACTTACCAGCTGTCTGGATGGATGGTACTTTCTTAGCAAGTGACAGTTAGATGGGTAGGCGGATGGGAACTTACAAAAGTCTTTCCGACACCAGGGCTGCCATGAAGGAGAAATATCTGACCTTCGCCTTTACTTTCGATAAAATCAGCTCCCCATAACTTGGTCCGATTGTCTCCACTGGGCTCCGTATATTTGTGTACGAGTGCCCTAATCATCTCCTTTCTAGCCTCGGGCATGACAAGGCTATCAATAGCCCTCTTGTTCACTTCTGGCTCGTGGCAACAAGAAATATTAAGTTTCTCTGCTTGGAACTCAGTTCTGGGTCTAGAGGAAAACGTTCAAAATTGTTCATCTCTTACCCCATTTTCTGGATTTGAAAACAAAGCCATAGAGCAATCGGCTACACAGCAAATACCGATGACGAGCACCTTCCCGGGACCCCGGAAGCTCGAGATTCACCGTCACACTCGGGTCTAAAAGATCATAGTCCGCCCAGCGGAAGCCGGGAGGCGGGTGGGGTCTGAGGCCGAGACATGTGTCGCAGACACAGTTGCCAAGGTCTTCCCCCATGTCAGCGACATCACATGTCTGGGGGACTTCGGCGTTTTCCTGAGTGAAATATGAAGACAGGTCCATATAAACGCGACCCTGGAACTGCCCAGTGGAGTTAATATGACATATTCAAGCTGTATCGAGCGAGTGTATATTTACCCGTCTTTTCGATGAGCCTAAAAACTCGCCCGAGTAAATCATCTGCCTCCCCTGAAGACTTTCATACCATTGTTGACCTTGGCGTATCAAGTGTTCCCGGGTTTTCTCGCCATCAGTTCTATCATAGAAATGGGAGGGAAAGATCTTTAGCGAGGTGATTTGTCTCTCACCATCGAAGGGTGAAACATAGACGAATTCCGAACTTCTTCCCACAAATCTCCCGTCATATTGAAGATTCCATAGATAGACGGAATACGGCTTGGTAAAAACCCGAGAGGAGAGGACTTTCCTGTCCACCTCCACAGATTGAATCACATAGGCCGACATCTGACCCTCCGACACCATATACACCGTTTCACCAGGCTTGAAGAGCAGCCACAACATTCGAAATGTACACAGATTCTGGGTATGTCGAGCTTTTTCATCGTTAACCTGTGCCATGTAGCCAGAGGTTTTGAAGAAGTCAAGAAACGAGCCCAAGTGATTAAATTCCTCTTCGTCACATGGAGGCTGGGTGGGACTGTCCTTTGCTACTAGGGGACATAGAGGGTCAACGTCAGGTTCACGATAGGTCGCTCGATAGGCTTCAAAATCGTCAAAGTAATGGGCTATCAGTGGGTACGGCTCGTCGAGCTGCAGTACTTTGCCTCCGAGTTTTGCGGATGGATAGTAAGTTACCACACGGGCAATAACCTTAAGGAGTGACTCCGAGCATATGGTCACTCTGGTTGAGCGAAGGCTGACATCAATGCTCGCAATATTAACTATTCCCTGTTCCAAAGACTCTATCTCGTCCTCCGACAAAATACAGTCGTATGCCGCCAAAGATGTCTCCAGAACCGTGGTTATATTGTAAATAACATGTTGGAGATCAACGGCCTGTTGAGACACAGAGAGGTCGAAAGGTTTCGAATAGGGAACGTTGTGAACAAAAGTGTCATCCCTGCTTCGAATCTCCATGGAATATGTGACAGTCGGGTCCTGTTCTCCATCGGGCAAGGACAAGGATGACGGTGATTCGGGCTCACCGGGCTCACCGGGCTCAACGCACGAGATTCTCGTAGTGGTCAAATCCTGTGCACACTTGGGGCATTCATCAAATCCAAACTCTAAGATAGTTGCATGAGATCGCCCGTTACTTGGACAGTATAGAGATGCTGCTGAGCTCCAGCCATTCTCGGGATTTGCCTCGGCGTCTTGAACTGGCACCTCGACCTCGAGGTCCGTCGGTTGTGCCGTTACTTCAAGACTTGGATCAGCGTCGGTCTGAAATTGATTGCCGGCGAAAATATCAACGGCTTTAGGTTTCGGGCTGGCAGGCTTGGAAGGGGGAGAGCCTTCTGTATCCGTGCTGGCAGGGGGTGTCGGCAACAGAGTATTCGATGCATTGGATGTCTCATTTACTATTGACATTTTGTCCAGAGTTGTTTGCTCTCGCATCGATAATGTAGGTGTGGAAGGAAAAACCCGGAAATCGACGGAGGACAAGTCCACTTTGGATGAGACTTAGGTTTAATATAACCCCTCTAAATACCAGCAACCTATTCATTTGGCCTTTGTGCGTATCCAGAGTTGGCGCCTGACTGATGCGGCTTTTACTGCGGGCTGTATTAAGTAGCGGATCCTGCCACGAAACTTCAGCTGAGATAATTGGTAGGCATCCATCTTAGCGCCTCAACCTACATAGATAGCACTTCTGGTCCAGGCCTTTTTTGCCTCATCAAATATGAGGCTTAGTAGAAGAGGATTTTCGCTTTTCGCTCAACCAGAGCTAGCCTGTGCGTCCCATGACCTAAAAGGAAAGTGATGGCCACTATCAGTGCCCAATAAGACCGGTCCATTATACCTCACAATTCAAAGAGGGGTACCTCAATTCAATTGGTAGCATGCATGATTGGGACACGCTACCGAAGAAGTGGGATCTAAAAACTATCGGCCTTAACATTTTTCATGATGAACACGGAGCAACGATGGGGAAAGCGAATACGGAAATATCTCCCCTAATCAGACAGTACAGCATGAAGGCAGAGCAGGAAGAGCCTAACAACATGCTCGTTCAAGCTGTAAGCTCCACAATTAGGAAACAGGATGAGGAAGATTTGTGCGACCGACGCCAGGTATGGGAGTGGAGCAAATGGCTGAAGTTCGGGGAGTCCACAGAGTAAGGCCAGCCATCAATACCAATTAGAACTCTTGCGTGCTTCGATGTGCTGATATTGGCCAACGTACCAGCGACGTGGATCTCAAGCGGCTGGAAAATGGCCGCGAGCGCATAGTAGAAACCTGGCAGCGGTTTAGAGAACATCATCATGAGAACCCATCTGCGAACTCCAGCCTGGGCTTCCAGGAAGTGCCGAATATCAACATGCTGAGGGAAATCGTGGGTAATGCTCAGGTGGAATGGGAGACTAGGAGGGGGAAGGGGTTTGGCAAGGTCAAGAGCTATATGTCAGATTTCCTAGAATCGATGAACGACCACTCTTATCTGTTCAAGTTCATTCCGGCTGGAGACAAATACATCAGCCTCATCACTGGGGTTGTGTCGTCAGTTGTCAAGGTGTGCAATCAAACCTGAAGGGATGCAAATGTGTGGCTGACGCAGAAAAATGCTTATATTTAGACTTGTGTCAATTACAAGCGGATTGCCGAGGGGTTCTTTTCAGCCCTGGTCGACCTCAGTGGCGATTTAAGACTGGTGCAGAAGAAGACCGATATCTGGGACAGCCCGGATATAAGACGGCTCGTGGTAGACTACTACGTGATGGTCTTTCAGTTTCTCTGTAGCGCAATGTCTTGGTTCAGTCGACCGTTGCATCGATATCGGTCAATGATCGATAAGAACTTCTTTGATAATGAAGTCAAAGGTTTGGTCGACGGGATGAAGGCGACAGTGGCACGAATCCGTGACGAAGCAGCACATCTCGCAGAAAGGCAAGTCCAACAAATCAAAGATGGAGTAGACCGTGTTTTAGATTCCCTCAGTCCACGAACAAATGATGCTGCCGGCAGATTCTTGCACCTTCAAATTGTGGGTTGTGGGAGCCGGGACGACGACCAGGGGACGATCGAGGGGAAACTTCATCACTTCGGTCAGCTCGTGGGAACATGTTCAATAAAAGCCTTGCAAGACGTTGAAGCAAATTTTGAATACGGTAGGACGGTACACCAACCTGCTATCAGTAGCATGACTAATTTCAGGGATTCTAGACATGCACTCACGGGATAAACACGGAAAGAAAGAGAGCTCGAGAAAGTTCGGGGTAGTCGAGGAAGACGCGTCCGAGACCGAAGCTTTTTCCGGTATGTCAATTATTCAATACTCCAGCCGAGTCAGATCGATTGGCGAGCCTCAAATTTAATGTGATCGGTAAAGATACAGATGAGACTTGGACGCGCTATGACATCCAGAAGACCACGCTCTCGCTTTCAACGTACACGGAGGATGGCAGGGAGGAGATTTCCAATGCGCTCCGGGGAATCTCCATGCCACTGCTACCACAGGAGGTCTTGGATGCCATCAAACGATGGATCGGAAGCCCACAGTCTCGTATAATTTGGATTGAGGGCTTGCCGTCGTACTCCTATGGGTCAAACCTCTCCCTGACGGCAATGCAGCTTTGCACGATTAGCATGCGTGCACAGATCCCCTGCGTATCCTTCTTTTGCAAACCCAGCTACAAGTTTGCCTCAGTACCACACGCATCTCTCACCACACAGGAGGCCTCTGTTGTAGCGTTGTTGTACTCCGTAACCGCTCAGCTTGCGCGTCTCATCCCAGCCGACTTTCAGGGTTCTCCGGATCTCTACCAGCAGCAATTTCAACTGCTCGATGGGAGTATTAAAAGTGCTTCCATTGCACTGCGGATTATTCAAGATCTTCTGATACATGTGCCACCGTCCATTATATGGATAATCGATGGGCTGCAGTTGGCAGAAAGCAGGAGCACCATTCAAATTTTGGACGAATTTGTGGCCATGCTACGCGATCAAGAGAATCGCCGAACCTCCAAAGTGTGCTTCACCACAGACGGGAACAGTCATGTTATGCTACCAGCCATCAGAGTAGATGAACGAGTGGATGCCTCTCGTATGGCTCTAGCAGGGCAGCAATTGCCAGGAGGTGGAGATATCTTTACAGAGTTGAATCGTTGGTAGATTGTGCTGGATAAGAGACAGCTAGGATAGCATCATTGTGAAGTTCAATAGGCTTATCAGGTCAGATTCGGTACTTGCCCAGCCCACTACTTACTGTAGGTTGCTGTAACTGGAATTTTCGAATGATTGCTAGTGAATTCCGCAGGTTCAAAGCTGTTGTTAGATGCAACAAGTGTAACAGACATGACCAGACATTTGACTCATGAGGCGTCAGGTGGCTAGTCAACATTGTTCACACAAACAACTACGACTACGTATAATTATTTGGTACCTTTCTAGATATGGAGCTTCCCTAAGATAATCAAAAGAATTCGTAGTACGTAACAGGTTTTTTCTAAGGGTTGTATCAAACAAGTCTATAAACTCATGCTTCAGTACGGCAGCGCAGACGGGAAGCCCTGCTTGACAACCCTGATATCGTGTTACACTAAATATAGAATTACTTACGAAAGCCAACTAAGACATGATGGTTTTTTTGTGGTGGAGTGGTGATTTCTTCTTCTATTTACAACAAGTCAAAAGAGGTAGATAGAGAAAAACTAGACGACGCGAATAGATCCAATCGCAAACTTATACGATAGTAACTAAAGACATCTTATTTGAATTTCAACATTACCTGCAAAAGTAACATATCAAAAGGAGTGGAAATAAGAGAAAAAGAAAAAGAAGAAATTCAATCAAATAATAAATCATAGTACGTATCCTCGTCAAACGCTGCACATATCTAAAGCTAACTATGCTAATCACAAAAGAAAACACAAAAGAAAACATAAACATAATCCAAGTCATATCAACAGTGGCAATCAATAACAAAACAGTCGACCGATCATTCGTCAATGGTATAGTTATCACAAGGAGGCAAGACGCGACGCCGCTTAAACAAAATACGCTCAGTCGACGGCGCTAGAGACCTCTGCACCTAGTCCGCTGTCGCTGTACTGTCCGTAGAGGACCATTTTGGAGGTTTCTTCATCCAAGGTGTGTGGCTGTTGCTCCTGAACGTCAGGGAGATGGTCTTTCTTGGTCGCCGGGGCGTCTTCGACATCCGACGCGTCGTTCTCGTCTTGCTCGTGCTCCTCCTCGTGCTGACTTGCGAGCTCGCTGTAGTCATCCGCGACAGATTGGGGGCCAACTAGACGAGTGCTGGCGGTGGTGTTGCTCGCAGCGCTAACCGTTCGTCCGGCCGAAACAACACTACCGGTTCCATAGATCATGCTGTCGGTGCAAGTCCCTGTGTAGCTAGTCCTCCGTTCGGTGCCCGCATCGCTCTCGTCACCACTCCGGTTCTCGTCTTCCTCCGGGAATGCCTCATTCTCCTTGTTGGCTACGGAGCTCCGCCCTCCCCAAGAAGACTTCCGATAGGAGAGGTTGGACTTGACCGAGTGGCTCCGTTTCAGATTCGTCAATCCACTAGTGGCGCTCGTCCGTCTCTCCCCAACGCCGCGGTTAGCTGTGACATGGCCGAGGCTGAGGATTCTTCTTTCCTTGCTGGAGTTGGGCAAAGCAGCAGGGGCCGGTGATGACGCCCCCGACACTCGCTTCTTCAGCGCCAGTCCGACACTACTTCCCAGCAAGTTGTGAACATCCTTAGGAGTTGCGGTGGCGGTACTGGTGTTGCTTGGCCCGCGAGCGCGAAGTCCGCGTGCCTTTTTCATACCGATGCCCTGTCCACCGTTGGGACGACTGAGGAGGACACTGCGAGCGTGGTCCAGCACTCCTTCCAGGATCCGCTTCTCCAAGCTATCCGCACGCTCTTCCATAACTTGCATCTCCTCATGCCGGAGGTCAAGCGCCATCTCCAAGCCAGATAGCTCCTTGTTCAGCTTGGCGTTCTGCTTGGTAAGCGTCTCCTTTTCTGACTTCAGATTGCCGATCATGTTCAGCAAAGAATCTTTTTCTTCCTTGAGCGTGACCAGTTCAGCCTCCACCTGCTCGCGCTGCGCGTTTCTCCTCTCCAGCGCCACCGCTGCTTCCTCCGCCTCCCGACGCTTGCGATCGTTGTCTTCAGCTACGATGACCGACTGGGCTGTAAACATCTCGTTCATCTTGCGGTGGGTTTCCATGATGTCCTTGTGCATCTCGTCCAGCTTCATCATCTGCGTCACTTGCGGCTCGGTGTTCGTTGCGTGACCAATGAGGGTGTCCAGCTTGTCGTGCACAGGGCCACTATCGCTCGTAGCATGATCAAGCAGCTCACTCAGTTTTTCGTACATCTGGCCATTCGTGCTTGTCGTGTGGCTCAGGAGCTGATCGAGCTTCTCGTGCACCTGATCGCTCGTCACTCGCTCCACCAGGACATTCAATGCCTCATGCACCTTTTCATTCTTGGCGTGGTCCAGAATGCTATCAAGCTTCTCCCGAACATGAGTGTCATCGTACTTTTCCGGCTCAGGCGGAGGCAAGGCGGGAAGCATTTGTGGAATCGACGCAGGAATAGTAGAAAGATCCATTTTGATGTCCTTGGCAGATTGCTGGGAGTGGTCGTAGTGCTGGTTGACGATTGAAAGGATCTCCTGGATGGACTCTAGCACCTGAGGATGGAATTCATGCAGCTTGCTCTCCAGACGATCTGTGGCATCAGCAGCTCTCTGGAAGTCGGAACGAGACTGCTCCTGGTGGGATTTGACCTCGTTGTGCATTTCCTCCATCTTGGTGTAGGAGGTGTCGACTTTTTCGAAGAAAGTCTTTGCATCCACGCTCATGCGCTCGCAGGTCTCATTGACACTATTGCCCATGGAGCCAATGACAAGCTTGATGTCTTCTGCGAGGGACTTGGTGCTGGTAACTGCCTCGAGGCTGGCATTGTCGCGTTCCGCAGTTTCGGTGAACCTGGATTCCAACGAAGTGTGGGCTCCGTCGTACTTCTCCATCAGTTCACCAAGTTTTTCGTCGATTTTTTCTCCCAGTTCGACGATGATCGCTGCTCTAGTCTCGTCGTGCTTGACCATGGAAGCCGCGTCACGCTCCTCATTCTGCAACTTGCTGGCGTCCTGCTCCCCGCGAGCACGCTCGAACTCCCGGTTGATAAGTTCCGTGAGTTCATTGATCGAATCGACGGTCGAAAATCCTTCCGCCGATACGGCGAGACCTTCGAGAAGTTGCTTGAGCTCGCAAAGGCCTTCGCTGCTTCCATCCAGCTTACCCCTTAGCTCGTCTCCGAGCCCCTCAACGACAGCCCGGGCCTCTTCGATCTTCTCCGCAAGGCCAGCATGCTCAACCTTTCGAGCGTCGAAAGCTTGGCCGGTCATTTCACTGTCGGTTTCCGTCTTACTTCGGAACTCGGCCACGAGGTCAGTTAGATTTTGAAGTTCGGTCTTCGTCGGCAAAGTTTCAGGATCAGGGATCTTCAGCTCATCCATTTGGGTCTTAACCTCAAATATCATGGCCTCGACCGTTTGCAAGTCCGTCTTGACTAGCTTCTCGGTGTCTTCTTCCTCCTGTGTCCCCTTGCTCTTTAGCTCGTCCAAAGCCACCCACATCTCTTTCATGAGTGTCTCCAGAGTCCCGATCTCCGACTTCGTTGGGCCCTCCACTTCCAAGCGAGTGCTTAGCTCAGAAAGGGCTTCCTTGGTTTCTTTGACGACTGCCTCGAGGCTTCCCAGTTGCTCCGCTCGCGCAATCTCGTCCGGAGCTGGGAAGGTCATTTCATCGAGTTGACACTTGGTGTTTCGGAGAAGGGTCTCAATGGCGTCGGTATCTTCCTTCTTGGCGGTGGTCTCGTCCGCTGGACTGTCGCGAGCTACAATACCAGCGACAGAGCCTTGCAGTTCATGCAGACCTGCCAGGACCTCATCTAGATGTTCCCTTTTTAGAGCATCCTCCGAGGGCTCTGGCACACGTGGAGTCGACTCAATAGCTTCCACCTTGTCTTGAAGTTGGGAAATCAAAGACTTTAGTCCCTCAATGTCGCCACTGATATCGCTGGCAGAACTGGGCTCGTTCGCGAGCATCAATTCTCCTCCGCGTGAGGTTTCAGTGTCCGCCTGGGCGGCAGATTCTCGCAACGTTTCCACATCCGCCTTCAGTCCGACAAGACCCTCTTTCAAGGAGTTTAGAAGATCAGAATGATCAACTGCTTCCGGTCGTTCTAGAATCTTTGCCAGGTCCACACGGAGGGAGCCCATGCCGTCATTCAACACCTCGAGGATCTCACCAGAGGAGAAGGTAGTGTCACCGCCGTCCCTTGGTTGGCTGTTCTCTTCTCTGAAATTCTCCAGACTTTCGCGAAGGGCTGCGATGATCTCGTCCCTATCACTGCTGTCCTTATTACCAGTCGGCTCTGAGCGGACGAGGGTCATGCTTATCGAGTCGTGCAGATTATCAAATTCGCGCTTGATCAACTGAGGGAGGTCGCTGTCCGGCGCCTCCTTGTGGTGCTCGGATATGTCCCGAATGGCGTCGAGAATCTCATCCTTATCGTTGGGCGCATTGTTGCGAATGAGGAGCGCACTGAGGGTTTGTCGAAGGTGCTCGAATTCCTTCTCCATGGCATCTAGAAGTTCTGGGGTATCCGGATTGCCGTTAGATCCGGTGGATAAAGCAGTGTCGGTGATGGTTTTTTCCATATCAGCCTGCAGCAGACGGAAACCTTCCTTCACCGTGTCCATGATCTCGTGTTTGCCTGCCGCTTCCGTCGCTGTAGTGGCGTAGCTTTCGATCTCGTGTCGCACAACATCGATTCCATCCCTAATAGCGTGAAGGACCTTCTCGGTGTCCATTTCGTTGGTTCCTGGGCGCTGATTCATTTCCTCCCTCAAGCCGTCGAAGTGCTCGTGAAGGCGTTCAAGCATTTGCTCACCAATACCTTGGTTAGCATTGGTGGTTGCCTCATGGAGACCCTCTGCGATTGCCTCCATGAGATCGTCTTTGTTAAGTTCAATCTCTCTGCCGTTCTGGTTTTCCAATCCCTCCGCGATTGCACTGATGATATCTTCGCGGGAGATAGTGCTTTGCACGTTCGTACTGACAGCCGAGTTCTGGGCGACAAATGCTTCGTTAATTGCATCAGTAATGTCATCCTTGGAGACATTAGGTCTGTCCATCTCTTTGGCTGCGGTGAAGTGCGCCTCGAGCCCGTCCGAGACAGCGCTCAAGATCTCATCGCGACCTAATCCCGAGTCAAGAGTTGACCGCGTAAGAGCGCTCTGCGATGTGACGGACTCGGTGACTGCATGTAGTATCTCGTCCCGCATAGCGTCAAAGTGTTCATGGTCCGGCGCTCGGGGAGCAGATTCCTGGGATTCCTCGAAGCATTGGCGGATAGTCTGGATGATCTCCTCTCTGGTGATACTTGGGGGCTGCTCAAAGCTCTGCACGCCGGCTTGGACAGCAGCGAGCACCTGATCGTACGTCACCGCCTGCTCATGCTGTGGCTGGTATGCTTGCAGACCTTCCTTCAAGCATTCTAGGATTTCATCTCTTTCCAGTCCAAAGTTCTGGAGTTCGATTTCAGGCTTGTAATTTTCCCAAGCCTCCCGTACCGTTTCCAGAATTTCTTCCTTTTGCATGGTGGTACCCTGTGGCTCGTCACGCAGTTTATCAAGCTCCAAGTCCTCCAAAGCTTTTATGACGATAGAGTAAATCTCATGACCATCCACGGCTTGTTGCAATTCGGACAGGACAGATGTGTGACGACGATTATCACTCATGATGGATGCCAATGAATCTCTGAGTTCGCGCAAGCTGTGGTTGACGATTGCGGTTATCTCGTCCGGTCCTGGGGCTCGCGGTGTATCCTCGATGGCCCGGGAAGATTCGATCCGGGAAGATTCGATTTGTTCGAAATGCCGCGCGATATTGCGTCCCATCCCTAGGACCTCGCCACGCAGTTCGCGTACCAAAGCTTTCACCTCGTTTGTCATTCCACCTCCTTCAATCACGCTCGTCTTGACTCTCTTCATGATCGATAGCATTTCCTCGCTGACTTTACCGTCTTGGAAGGCTACGGAGCGCTCGCCGACCTGACCATTGCTGTCTTCGAAAGCTCGCGTATCCGGGACGACAGCAGAATCCGGGCCGAAAGATCTCGATCGAGGAGCATTCGCGGCTCCCTGTGGGTGGCGGTCATGAGGGTCAGCTTGAGATCGCACCAAAGCCTTGTTCCCCGATTCTTCTTTCACGAGGTTCAAAATCTCCTCCAGCATCTTCATCATCGACTGATCGGCGCTGCGCTTGGGTGGGTCGGATGAAGCCGGTCTTGCTTTTATCTCGTCCACCAACTCGACAAGCTTCTCTTGCCCTTCCTTGGTAGCCATCTCCCGTAACATCTTCTCCAACAGGGCAATACTGGCCGAGCCGTCAGAAACAGGTGTAGGGGAAGAGCAAATATCGTGCTCCAAGGAAGCAAAATGGCTAGGGCTGGTCATGCGTGGTGCCGAATAACTCTTCTTGGAGTTTGGAGAACTATCCAATCCCGTGCTGTTAACACCAATGTCTGAACCGAGAAGATTACCGAGATCCCACCTTGTGGAAAAATCAGGATCTAAAAACTTTGCGGCTAGATTGGAGGACAAATCACGGAGACTCTTTCTTATGTCCTCATCGCGCGTACTTGTAGCCGCCTTGAGGCTGACCAGATCGGTGGCATTGTCCTTGCTCCGTCGACTCAACTGCGCCATCTCTCGCTGGAGATTGCTGGCAATATCTGTAAGACCGAGAATTTGCGTGGACAGGGCTTCGAGACCGTGGGGGTTGGAACGCTTGGGCTCAAAGAAGGGATCGGCATCGTAACTCTTCGCTTGCGGTTCGCCGCTGCCAGCGGGAATTTGCATATTCTGAAGAGCAAGCATTGTGGCGGAGGTAGGTGTGCTCTCGCCCAGGATCGGCTTCGACAAATACCGGCTGGATATGAGCAAATTGGGGGGATCGCATTCTGGATCTCGGTTCTCTTTGCTCTCAGACTTGGTCTGGTGCTTTTCGTTAAGTTTGGGCCCAAATTCAAAAGTAGATGCGCGCTGCGGCCGCTCGGGGGATTTGTTTTCTAAATAACTCAGAAACTCTGACCGCGGGTCAGTATTCTGCAGCGACTGCATGCGCTTGTGGAATTGGCCTTTGATTAAAGACTTCTCTGGCGACTGCTTTGATGGCATGGGGTTCGTCGTGTATGGGCTCGTCGCATTTTCCCGCGGCTTTTCCGCGAAGTTTGCGGCCACCGCCTGAATGCCTGGGGAGACATTTGGCTTCGTAGCAGGACTAGTAGATCCAGGGTTCATGGGGAGCGGAGGAGGTGCACGTTCGGGGTCCGAACTGTCCCACCTTCGTTTCCACGATCTCATTGTCAGTCTGATGTAATCGATTGGCTTAAAAGAGGGAGGACGACTCCGGGATTTTCTGGCCACTTACATGGGCACGGTTTGATTTCTCAAAACCAGCTCGCGATCGCGGGAATTCTCACGGGTGTGCGAAGGCATCGTGAAGCCTGAAAGGTTTATTCGTTTCGATTGGCGCACTGACTGTTTGGTCGCCTGTTGTAGTAGGGAAATCTGGGGTGGGTATATGGGGTTCGCGGTAGATTGATCGTCGATCTCAAGGTCGTAAAGGCATATCAAGTCGTCAAAACAAAACAGAAACAAGAAAACAATTGATACAAGAGCCCCGACCAAGTAACTTGGGGGAATCATGCACAGGTAAACAGGAAAGAAGAAAACAGACAGATGCGCTTGCTATGAAGGAACCGAGGGCAGCAACAATAAACAAATGAGACAATGCGACAAAGTGACAGGCAAGGGAGTAAAAAAGCGAGGCAAGTACGTCGAGAGATAAAATTAACAAAGGTCAGATCAAGATGCGCACGAGATGGAGTAGTCCCATTAAAGATCCAAGTAATCAATCAATACATATAGTATCACCAAAGGGACCAAGTGGAGCAAGAACGGGGGGAAAGATCGGTACAGATGGGCTCACGGTCCAATCTACGATGTACACATCAAAGCTCCCTTCATAGCAACCGGCGCCTTCTGGTTGTCAAGTAAACAAATGCCCAACGAGCCCGAGGGCGGTGTGAGGGATGCATGACTAAGCGAAAGTATCTCCGAGACGCGGGCCACTAATCCTTTTGGGGAAATTTTCCTAGAAAGGACTAGTGGTCGGCCTTCGGTAACTCGGCCAATAGACGCTCGGCACACAAATTCAGGTGTGCCCTGAACTCGCTTCCCTTCCCAAGCGAAAAAAAGAAGTCGAGCGCGGAGTCTATCTCTATCGTCACTCGACCGAAGCAAATCGACAACCACCCCATCGACCTTGCTGCCGCTCACCGGGACTTTCACAATGAAGTGTTAGTTGTTCGCCTCGATCCCCCGAATTGATTGATATACTTTTTGTTGCATTGGGACGCCAGCTGACTGAAATGATATAGTCATGAAAGTGGGCCGTGTGGCCATCATCACCCGTGGCCGTTACGCCGGTAAGAAGGTACGACAAGAATCTATCCCATCCGAGACGGAGAACGATGCACATTAAATGGAATGAGAGGAGGGGGAACACCGGATCGATCCAGCGATTTCGACATGGAAAGAAGAAATGGGCTGGAACGGAATAAGAGCGGGGATCTACGAATGGGAAAACGGAATGACACAACTTGCTTGCAGGATGTGATGCTGACGAGGGTCTTTTTTTCGCGATCTACAGGTCGTCATTGTCCAGCCTAACGAGACTGGCTCCAAGGCGCACCCGTTCCCCTACGCCATCGTTGCCGGTATCGAGCGCTACCCCGGCAAGGTCACCCGCCGCATGGGTAAGAAGATGGTCGAGAAGCGCAGCCGCATCAAGCCTTTCATCAAGGTCGTCAACTTCAACCACCTGATGCCCACCCGTTACACGCTCGAGCTTGAGGGTCTCAAGGGTGCCGTCTCCACCGACACCTTCAAGGAGGTCTCCCAGCGTGAGGAGTCCAAGAAGACCATCAAGAAGGCTCTGGAGGACCGCTACACCAGCGGCAAGAACCGCTGGTTCTTCACTCCTCTGCGTATGTTCTTCCATATCTGGTGTTCCGTTCTGGTCGCGCAAGTGCTGACTAGACACAGGTTTCTAAACGGGTTATTTTGGGGCGTTTTGTCATTTGAGCGCGCAAGGTCTTAGATGAGGCAAAAGGGCAAAAAAACGCATCGAGCACACTCGGTTCACGAGCACGGAATTGAGATGACGAATACCAATGCTGGAGGAAAGAAGCGGGAATGTATCGATGTACAAGTCCAGGACTGGGCCAGTTCTTAGATGAAGGAGGCCACTCAGATCTGGCGTCCTTTTGAAACGAATGGAAAATATGAACAAATTCAATTTCCCTTTTTTTGTCTGAGCCACAACTTGAATCTTTGGATCTGTCGTGTTGACCTAGTTTGCTTGCTTGCTACTAACCTACTTCTGGATTGCCGATCATATCGTGTTGCGCACATGACTTTTAATACCTATGGTACGGAAGTCTGCCTTATGACCTTGAACCGATCTTTCCGAGCCTCTCCCGTGGGGTGTCATCGTACACCACGCTTCGATTAGATATCTATGGCGGGTAGTCTTCGCTCTTGGCCGCCCCGCAGCAAAGTACATGCATCCGCATCCCCAGATCCGTCTCGACTCGATTCACAAACAAGGGGAAGGGGGCTGGGGCCGGGAAGCATCCATACACGCCGACCATCCAGTCTGGTCCATCCGCATAGTCAGTCCCAACCACAAGCACGCAGTAAGAACCAAGACCAAGCCACCCATGCACGCAAAGCGGGCACCAAATGAGGCACAGACGATCCCTAATGGGCTTGCATGTGCCTCATCGCCCCAGTAAATACTAAATCCCCACAGCCTACAACAAAGGCAGAGAAGCAGAGGGAGGGGAGACCTAAGAGCGGGCCACCGCGCGTATTGCAGATCACTGACCCTAGACTACAAGGCTCATTCTACCTATGGATACTAGTTGTCACAGCTACAGCTAGTAGAGGACCTAGCCCAGTTGGTTAGGAGTTAGTCGCCGGTATCCTGGAGAGCTAACTAATGTACCATGGGCGCCAGAGCAACGCAACGCAGCGCAGCGCACTGTTCCCTCCGTCTCGGGGGGTTGTGATTGACTCCAAACCGATAATTCCTCGGTGTCGGCGCATGTATGCACATTCCATTCTATTCCTGTCTGAGGTCGGCGCCCAGGCTAGTCGGCTGGTCGTTAGCGCCCACATGGTAGGATGAGGGTATCATAATTTTCCGTTTCTATTTTCGAGTTAAATTGGCTTCTTCTTGGTTTGTGCATGCTTTTAGATTTTTTATGCTTTTTCCTCAATATGTATCCAACAAGATTTTGGCTGCACAATTTTGGATTTCTTTCCCTTCCGATATATATATATTAATTCGGCCAGGATCGATAATACAGGAGAGGCATGATGAAACAGTGTATTCTAAACCACGCCACAATATCTGATGGAACGTAGGAAGTGTAGGCTTAGGCTACTGCGGATAGACCACACTACGACCGGATATTCAACCTTGTCTGCCCTCCGATCTAGTGGGTTACGACGCGGAGGGGCAGAGAGTACATCCCACAAAAGTACGCTTCATGTGGGTAGTCCCCATACGGGGGCAGGGAAGAACTACAGTCAACCCCATTTCTATCTCCACAGACCCCGGTCTCCGGAGAAAGTGGAAACGAGCGTGTCTGTGTCTCCTCTAGTGTATGGAGCCCTGGAGCCTGGAGTGTGCACTGTACAGCGTACGGCTGGGGCCTTCGGCCGGTTGTTATCCAGGACGCTCAGGCCAACCGGTGGATCAAGTCAGAATAGCATCACGGCAAGTGGAGCAAGCAACGAGGATGCAGACAAGAAAGGGATCTATTGCGAGATTTGTTGTAGTCTCGTAGTCTCACAGGCCCATCCCGGCAGGACGAGGCCCAGGCGCAACCACGGTGCTGATCGTACTCCGGCCGATCAATGTAAAGAAGCTACCTTACTTAAGCCCTGCCCGGAAGAAAGAGTAGGTCTCCCGTCTGGCAAAATCAAGAGCTGTCCGCCGATAAGACCAGGTTTCTCGAGCCGGTCTATCAATTTCGTCGGCAAACGTGGAACCGGAATCAAACCTGTGCCAGACGATTGGGGAGAAATTCTCGGGCGAGATAGGCGGCTACTAGCATGGCAGGATTAGTCTGCTACTAACCAGTAGTTGGTAGCACATGCCTTGGTATGACTGTTTCGTGATAGTAGGTAGATATGTAGAATGGGTAGTTTCCGATGATCCGTAAAGTAAAGAATCGATCTATCTGTCTATCTATCCAGAGAAAACACTAGACTAGTTGGACCCGCAATCACATGCTGTCAGCTGTTAGGACTGCCTCAGGCAGGGCCAGTCCGTCCGTCAACCGTTCCAGACGATGCATTAGTTTGCCCATCCCTCCTCGTCCAATCTTCCAATCCCTCCGCCATCTTCCCACCACCTCCTCCTGCTCCTGTCGACTTTTGCCACAGACACATGATAACACGATCCCCTTGCCACATGAGGAAAAAAAAAAAAAGCTTCAATATATTGTATTAGCGGTGCGATTTTCGCGTCCAATGATACCTAATTTTCATCATTCCTTCTCTCGATCTTTCTGGATGATGCCATGGCTAGGTCATCCGAAAGCCACCCGGAGGCAAAGGCACTAACAAATACTAATAAATGATACTCATTTGTAACTCAAAGCTACTTGGGACTATCGCTAGTGAGTTTCCTGTCCAACGGGTCTAGATGGTCAGTTGCTGCAGGGAGGACTGAACATCGCATCATCCCTTCTTTGGCCACACCACGACGGGTTTGCTTCCCCTGTCGAATTAGATGCAGATTCTCGGGCGGAGGAGGAACGGATTACCGGGATCTATTCTCCCTCTTCATGCTCAACTCGTGTTCCAGGCCCAAAATGGCAGGAATATCAGATACGATGAGGGTAGAGAGTACCATGGAAGAGTTGCTGAGACCAAGAGGCAATTCTTCTTCTGACATGCCGACTGATTTGCTCCATGTTGTAGCTATTATCTAATGATCCATCTGTGGACGGAAATATCTGACAACATCCATCAACTAGTCCTACCCTAGTATGTCTCGTTCTTTGTCCAACGGGGCGCATGGGTTTGCTGCTGCTTCGGGCAGTGGGTCCGCTTTCACATGTGAACCAAGACCAAGTACTATCAGACACAGCTGCAAGCTCAGGTAGCTTCAATTGGGCCAAACGGCGAGGTTACTCCTCGTACCTTACGAGAGAAAAAAAATAAAAATAAAAAAGGAGGGAAAAAATATTCATACTTTTCAAATAAAAGAGAAAAGAAAAAAGTTCTTAAGGAAACGCCATTGCCTGAATCAATGATAAACCTCGACCGTGGCGTATTTATTTAGCAACTCGAACCAAGACTGCCTGTGTTTGACTTTCCGGATTTCCTGGAATTCCTCCACACTAGTTGATTGACTGACAGTATTCTTATCAGCCACTGCAGAGATACGGTGCGTCCCTCTCGTTTTTTTTTTTTTTTTTTAACTCGTCTACCCCTCTCGCTTTTTCTTCCAGACCACCTTCCAAACCTTCATATCCCTTCCATGCCGCTGACTCTTTTAGGGTATTCTATTTTATCCCAGGGCTTCCCGTCAATACTACCTTCCCTGCACAAACATACCTTGACACCAAAGGTACTTATACATCCAACTGGTAGGTGTCTTCCGACCACTTCCTTTGAAATATTTATATGTGCCCAGATTTGAAATTAACCCCAAATTCAGTTTAAACTCATAGAGACCAATGCCTCACGCAGAACAAAACACCATGACGACAAATAGCATCAACGGTGGGAAGGCGCAATCCCACTTCATCACCGTGAGTCTTACCCCTCCATACCGACGGTTTCTACTAGCTACTAACATGGCGGTCTTGTAGCACTTGACCTCGTATCCCATTGTCTCCGACACGATCGCAGTCGTCAGGACCAACAAGTACGGCGCAAAGTCGTTGACCTACGTCGATGAAGGCTACATCCGCTTTGCGAAGCCTGTTCTCCCCTACCTCTCCGTCCCATACAGCTACGTCGCTCCGTACCTCTCGCGCGCCGATGCTCTAGGCGAGCAGGGTCTGGTCAAGATCGACGGCCGCTTCCCGATCCTGAAGGAGGATACCGAGAAGATCCGGGGAACTGTCTTCTACCCGGTGCACTACGTGTCCGATGTGCGATCCCACATCACCGACACCTACAACACCGAGTACAACAAGTGTGGTGGCAATGGACTGGGTGCGCGCGGCAAGGCCGTTATCACCACGGGCCTTCTCCTCACATCGGGAACACTGGATTATGTGAGCCATTGGCTGCGTGAGAGAACCGTGCAGGCCAAGGATGCCGTCGAGGAGAACTCCAACTAGGTTTTCTGCTGGCACCACCCATGGCTGATTCTTTTTTCCTTCTACTTCCTCTTTTTATTATTCCCTCTCTGCCCCTCTTTTTTTTTTAGTTTTTATATTATCTTCCTCCCCCCATTATTCTTTGTGAGTGCGATTATGCCCGGTTGGTTTTGAGTCCGTCTAGTGATTTTGTTTCGAGTAAGGAGGGTGTTTATCAGTGTTGTACTGTTAGCTTGCATCGGATACACAAAGGTGTTGTCATTTCACATTTCTACTCGGGAGTAATTCGTAAATATCGTAGCGAAAAAGCAAGATTTCTTTAGCAAAAAATCCAGAAACCAAATCGTCAGGTCCCTCGACATCCCATTCACACAACGACAACACGACCCAGTCAGAATCCCCCGATGCACATCCAGCACAGCACAGCATCAGCCCACCGCGTTTACGGCGGAGACAAAATGCGAAGATAGCCCGACAGCCAAGGATAATCAGGTCACTTTAGACTCCACTGACATGATATGATATGATCTGATTCCCAGAGCCAATATCGATCGAATGATCTTCACCCGCTCTTGCATGTGATTAAGTCCCTGCTAATTAATCCCAATGCGGTAATTATTGATGGGCGAGGGGATTACCCAATCATCGCGGACCCACAATGCGCCCGCGTGTCGGCGCGTCCTTCGATACTAATCAGATACCTACAATCAATCTATCTATGCTTTGTGTCTGCAAGACAAAGAAATCTGACATGACCCGTGAACTCCCTGACAACCTCCTCACCTACCTTAATAACTACGATCAATCTTGAGACCACGTACACCCATCATCGCACAAATCACCATCAAACCAACCCAACCAGTCTATAGCACTCCCACGACAACATGCCTCTCGTCCGCAAACGCCGCGCGGTAGGACTATTTCCTCTCCTCTCTGCCCCGCTCCTCGCCCAATCAATCCCATCACCTCACTAACTAACAAATCCACAGGCTCCCGACTCCGATTCCGACTCCTCCGGAGCAGAAAACAACAGCGGCAGCTCCTACGCCTCCTCCCCAGCAGTAGCAGCAGCATCAGCATCAGCGCCCACCCCCCGCCAACGCAGACGCAACACCAGCCCCTCCGACTCAGAAGGCTCCTACAACGGCCCCAGCGCCCCCAGCAGCGTCGACGTCATGGTCAAAAAGCTCGTCCGCCTCGCCCTGTCCAGCGAGTACGCGCGGCTGCCCATCCGCCGCACGGATATCAGCGCCAAGGTGCTGGGTGAGCAGGGGACGCGCCAGTTCAAGCAGGTGTTTGAGAGCGCGCAGCAGGAGCTGAAGAAACGGTTTGGGATGGAGATGGTGGAGTTGCCGGGGAGGGAGAAGGTTACTCTTACGCAGAGGCGAGGTGAGTTTTTTTTTTTTTCCCTTCTCTTCTGTCTTTGCGTTATGGGGTATGGTAGGGAAGACGTGCTGATGGAAAGCTGCCAGCCGCGCAGAAGGTCGAACGCCCGTCTGGTAACTCCAACAAATCCTGGGTCTTGACGAGCACGCTGCCGTCTGAGTACCGCAAAGCGGAGATTTTGACCCCCGCGCGGGCGCCTCTTGAGAGCACCTACACGGGGATATACACGTTCCTGGTCGCCATCATCTTGTTGAACGGCGGGTCGCTACCGGAGCAGAAACTTGACCGCTACCTCAGCCGAATGAACGCCGATACATACACGCCCGTCGACCGGACAGACCGTCTTCTGCAGCGGCTCTGCAAGGAAGGGTACCTTGTGCGGACGCGGGAGATGGACGGCGGGGAGGAGATTATCGAGTATATGCTTGGGCCGCGGGGGAAGATCGAGGTTGGCGCTGGGGGCGTTGCGGGGCTGGTGAGGGAGGTTTATGGGCAGCAGGGGGCGGTGGATGGTGGAGATGAGGGGATGACGGTGGGTGAGAGGATTGCTCATGAGGATTTTGAGGCCCGCTTGACGAGTAGTTTGGGCATTCAACGGGCTGCGAAGAGGCAGTTGGAGAGCGAGGACGGCGCGGGACGAGGTGGTGGGGGGAGGTCGGCGGCGCGGGGGGAGGATTACGATGAGGAGTCTGGGCAGGATGGATATGGACGGGGAGAGGAGGAAGATGATGAAAGTGATTGAGGCTGTGTTGGAGGTTGTCTGGTGAGTCTTGGTTCTATGATACCCGTGTCAAATGTTATGGTCTGGTCTACTGGCAGAATGATACTACAAGTTATGATATTGAATTTCTTTATGGATTGGCTGAAGAGGGCAGAGAGAGAAGCCGGGAATCCAAGAGACAGCCGGATTGCTGTTGAAGGAACATATTGAAGAAGATTTAATCAATGACCTCATGCCACTAATCCAATTGATATCCTTCCTCCCCAGCTCTGGCACCGGTATGTTTGCTCTACTCAAAGCATGAATTTGTGAGCTGACTGCAGAAGAGTTCTTCTGTTCGCTTCCTCTCGAAGGTCTCAGTAATGACAATCTTCAATCTCAAAGCAGCACTTGTCCTTTACCAACATCTGTCTACTCATCACATGTGAGGCTCACATTTCCCTCTACTATATAAGATGCATCAACTCCCTTGATAGATCCAGAAACTAACGATAATTATAACCACATATAGCTCACCCAGTCCTCACCAAACTCTTACTTCATATCATGGATACCCTACATCATCAAGTGAAGAGATAAACCAGCAACCCTCCCCTTTCAGTGAGGTTATATCAAAAGCCCTCTTTCACAGCTTCCCTTTCTTCTTATCTCATGGTACATCTCTTCACTGATTATATGGGCACATGATACCTACAGCAGCCACGCTAACTCTCTTCACTAGGCATCAAACATCATGACTGAATGAACACATCATCACTTGTAATGAAAAGCACTAGCTTTATTCACTGCAGCTTTTGAAGATGATTGTATTCAGATCCTCTAGAATGCGGTAGAGAGTTGCTGCCTACTGGCCTATATAAAGGCTCGATGTTCCCTTCGAGAGTTCTCTTACTCACATACTCGAACCTTCCTCTTCAGTGAAAACCATCAAGAACAAAGACATTCATATCATTAGATATCTGATGTATCTCAACAATCTAACTACCAACCATGTCGGTAAGTCCTCTCCTACTACCCACCCACTGGATGGACAGACGAGGGACGAAGAGATGAAACTATCCTACAAGCATCTACATCATTGTTCAAACTAACTCATCATATACAGAACACCAGTTCCGTTTCCAATGTCTCCGACATCCAAAACACCGATGCTCTTTGGGACGTCGACAGCCGCACCTCCTCCCCATCCACCGTATCATCCTTCAAGATTCTTTCAGAATCCGATGATGACAGCATCATACAATACTACGGTGATGATGAAGATGATAATCCAATCGTCAGCATCGACGTCCTCTAGGGCATCGACCCCATAACTGGACAGGCCACAGCCCAGACTGCAGTCGTCTACTCCCCCGAGGTAACTCATGAGGAGGCCCTCGATCTCGTCAAAGAGATCACAATCCGTGCTGAACTTCAGCATGGAGGGTCGGCTGGCCCTGCCCAGCGATCTGGTGATGACTCTCGCTGGGGAGAAGCCTGTTTGCAGTGGCCCTGCGCGTTTGGTCCCTGGGGCTGTTCGCGGGTGGTGACGGCCGGTCTTGTTCTTCTTTTTTATTCGTCTTCTTACTCTTTCTTCCCCTCTCTTTTCATCTGTTTGTTCTTTTTAGGCTTGGTCTTGGCTAGGCCCCGTCTGATAGGTTCTGTATGTTGTGCCATTCGTGGCTGGTGGTGGTTTTTTTACATATCCTCATATCCTTTCTTTCATTTCTTCTCTATTTGTTCCCGTTTTTGTTTCTCCTCCGACTCTTCTGTCTTTTTCTTCGGGGCAGCTCTTTTTGGGTTTGCTCTCGGTAGGTTCTGTATGTTGTACCATGTTGTGCATGGTACGGATGGCAGAAAGGGTGAAGTTGGGGTTGAAATTGTTGGATGGAATATCCATGATGGATTGAATGGGTGGAATACATATTCGAATATTCATTGGATGAATGCAATGATCAGGGATGGCTAATGATGTCTCTGCTATTCAAGACCCGATGGCGGCTGGGACGGATGGACAGTCTGTACATGTCATGTCATGTTCATGTTGGATCTGAACGACACGCTATTTTCGCTGGAGAAAAGAAAGAAGCGTGTTGCCTATGGCAGGCCTGGTCTTTTGTATTATATGGAGTTCAAAGGGTGGATTTGAGAGACATGAATAGGCCAACACGTCAGCTAGCTTGCTGCTGTTTGTTGTCATGTGGATTGCTATGTTGACTCTTCATGTTTTTGCAACTACTCGCTACTTCTTCAATGTCATCTATATCATCAATATTATGACCATCTCATTGGCCTCCCACCAAATTAACTACACTGTCGCTACATGGTAAAGAAACCACAAAAGTAAAGAAAAGAAAGAAGAATCATACCCTCACAACAACCTTATGCCCTCCCCCACCACTAACAACAACAGTAGCCGTCCCCGCCCACTCATCCCACCAAACGCCCCTCAAGATATCATTCCCATCAATCCGAATCGACGGTCTCTGTCCGTCCCTCACAAACGGCAGCGTCAGATTCCCCCTCGTGCCGCTCGGGACCGCAAACGCCAGATCGTACCCGTCAGCGCGCGTCTCCCACGACACCTGGTACTTTCCCAGCGGGGTGGTGAAGCCGCCTTCTGCGCGGTGGAGGTCCCCGAATTGGGGCGCGATTTTCCAGGTGAGGCCTATTGGGGTTGTTATGGACAGGCCGAGGATGGACTCTGTGAGGGCTTGTGTGAGGGATGTGGGCTCTTTGGGTGGGTGTGGTGTGTTGGGGGAGGAGGCTCTGTGTTTGGATGGGCTATTTGGCGGGTAGGCGCCGGGAGAGGTGCTCGTGTGGTTTGGGTTCTGGAGGTACCAGGCCCAGCTGCGGCGGATGAGGTCTAGGGCTCGTGCGGGCTGGCTGGCGGCGAAGTGGGCTTGGATTTCGAAGGTGGAGGTGAAGGGGGAGAGGGTCCCGCTGGGTTCTGGGGTGACGGCGCCGGTTGGGTTCCGGTTTTGGGTCAGGTTTTCTGAGATTCGGGAGGAGCGAGTTGGGTTGGTGATTTTGTAGATGAGGGCTAAGCTGTTTGCGCGTTGGGGGTATATGGTTGTCTCTGTGGTGTTGACTTGGAAGGCGCCGTAGTCGTCATCCCAGTAGTGCGTATTGATCGCTTGCTTTAGGCCCTCTGCTTGCTTGTTCCACTCGTCTGAGATGGTTAAACTGTTCGGTGCCCATGTAGCGAGTTGCGCTCCTGTTTCTAGGGCGTGGTATAGACTGTCATCGGTTGGTTAGACATGCGGTTTTCGGCGTATGGAAGAAGACTTACATCATCTGTTCCTCTAGGCTGTTCGACTCTTGCTGTAATTTGTCTTGGTTACATGGGTCTGTAAGCTGTAGCAGGTCGCGTGTGCTGTCCACTTTCTGGTAGATGTAGCTCATGGCTTTCTTATATCCTTCCCAATTTCGTTCAAGAAAGTCAGTGTCGTTGCTATAGAGGACATAGTGGAATGTCCCTATCATCGACCACAGATGGTCAATTTCAGAGCTCTTCAGATTGGCTAGCCCCCGTGGTTCACTGAATGCTCCGGTCGAGTTACTCTATGCGTTGTTAAATACGCACCAAAATCAAAGACAGATGACATACCTGTGTGTTGTACACTTGCTGCAATGCGCTTTTGGTACCCTCCAAATTGCCGGTACTGACAAAAGACGACAACACACTTGTTCCCATGTCGCCTGGCCATATCTTATAGTCTCGCTTTTCATCCACGGCTATCGTATCATCAGACCCCATCGTTTCATTGGTGACCGTCCCATCTGTCACCATAGAACTCGGGCGTGCAGCGGGGGCCGGCATGTCATTAACCTGCAGCGCATAAGCGCCACTGTACCAGACACGGTTGAGCAGTTCATCATCAGAGAAGAAATACCCCTGATAAGCCCGGAGATTCGACCATGCCGGTTGAAACGCAATCTCCAGGCCCACCCCGTCTATGCTGACATTCGTCGGACCATCAGCTAGCAGGAATACGACCATATATCGGAATCCCGCACGCATGTCCTTATCTGGCACGGAGTAGTTTCCCTCTCCGGCTTCGGTGACATTCGCGTACAGTGCCCTGTCAAGAGATCCCGGGGCATCGTCAGAAGAATCTGGTTCCTGCCGTACCCAGCTGTTCGTCTCGGGAAAGGCCAGTCCCAAAGCCCCGCTGCCTGTTGACGTATAGTTGAGGGTGACGATACCGCCGACTTCGATGCCGAAGTCAAATACCACCACCGACCCATTGCCTTCAAGTTTATATGGCATGGATCTCTTATAGTCCCTTGAGGAGTTTGTGTCCGATATGGTCCATATCTCCTCGGGCCCCACAGTTCGAGAAGACGGCGCATAGATGTACTTGTCCCACGGTCCCGAGAAGGCACTATCTTCCGGACCCGAGCACGTCGTCTCCCTCCAGCACTTCTGCGCCAGCGAAGCTGGTGCCAAAATGGCAAGACACCAGACAAAATGAAGCCACATGCTGGATGTCATAGTATTCTGAGGAGACCTGACCTAGCCTACACTCAACAACGCCATCTCCGAGGCGCTCAAGGCTAATATACCATCGAAGCGACTAGCGCGAACTCACCCTCCAGCGGGTCTATCTGCCAAAGTCACCAACCAAAGAGGGGTGGGTGGCTTCCTCGCTACCGGATGGTTCGGGGTTGCTGTGCAAGAATCACCTGCCTGCCGGGCGAACTGCCCCGTCACCAGCGCCGTTTGAGGCGTTGGTGCGGTGCGGGGCCCACTTGATGTGAGACTAGCATGGTCGGAACTCTTCACACCGGTAATGCCAAGATTTTTTTGCCTCCGCGCCGCTGTTGGTGTTTTGGCAGAAGTTGGCAGTTCGTCCAGTCGGCAGTTGATGTGCACGACATGGTGTGGTAGCATCTATAAATGTTCGAGAATGCGGGTCGTTCCGATGCGGAGCTGGAATCCATGTTTGCAAGGCATGATTGGCGGATCTCGTCCAAGAACTTGATAGGCATTTAGAGCATCCATACTGGGCAGTGATAGACGTGGATTGTTTGAGACTGCTCGCTGTGAGAACTCGGACCTGCAAGTGACGAAGATTCTAGCTGTCTTTTCTTGATTTTTAGGCGTTCTAGCGCAGAGACCGTTCTGTATTTGAGTTTCTCAATCTGAAGGTATGGCTCAAAGCCATGGACTAGACGACTGTCTCAACGTCGTGCGTGCCAACAATCAACCGAAACGAGTCTCGGTACGCCGCCGAATGTGGGGTTGACCGTATTAAACCTTCAAGGCTGGGGTGCTAATCAAGTTGATGGATGTAATTTGTAAATGCTAGTGTACCCGTACCAATCAAAGCCAAAAATTAAAAAGCACTCATGTTTTGGGGGAGATCAAGACGGCAAAAAGTGGAAGAACATTCCATGTCATCGACAGGGCGCGTTCGAACTAAACATTCTGAAGCGGAAAACTTTCCCTCGTGCATTCTCCACATCCACCATACCACCCACTCTACAAGCCTGACTTTACAATCTTCGTATTGATACATATACCCAACTAATAGATATAGACTCTTCACTGAGCATCCATTTTTCATATCCATCATCACCTCAATATGGCCCAGTCTAGCCATACTGTTAAAAAACCATGGATCGAGACCCCATTGATTGAATCAGCGGCTCTCTCCAAGGTAGCAGGATGGTATATACCCATACAAGCCCAACTCACCCAACAATATCCTCTAGGCCCAAAAAACTAACAATCCATAGTAGAATCTTCCTCAAACTCGAGCTCCTACAACCCTCAGGGTCATTCAAATCAAGGTAAGCAACGCCCACCCAAAACAGCGACAGGAGGCCTATGTATCTCACCCATCAAAGAGGCATCGGGAACCTCATCCGCACCGCCCTCCTAAACCCAACAAACAAGGGCAAAAATCTCCACTTCTACAGCTCCTCAGGCGGAAACGCAGGACTAGCCGCCATCGTCGCAGCCCGAGACCTAGGCTGCCCGTGTACAGTCGTCGTCCCGCACAGCACGAAGCCGTTCATGATCAGCAAGTTGCGCGCTGCAGGCGCTACGGATGTGGTTCAGCATGGAGCTAGCTGGTTTGAAGCGGACACTTTCCTGCGTCAGAGCTATATCGACGAGGGCTGCCATGACCGTGCAGGCTCGGAGCGGAACCAGAAAAACATATACGTCCCCCCGTTCGATCACCCCGATATATGGACGGGCGCGGGGACAATGGTATCTGAAATAGCGGCGCAGTTGCCGCCGAGAGACGGTGAGTCTGCGGGGGGCTTCCCGGCCGATGCAATCATCTGCAGTGTTGGGGGTGGGGGACTCTTCAAGGGCATCGTCGAGGGGCTAGACACATACCTACCTCTTCGAGCCGACTCGCAAACCCCCTTGAAACCCGTCCGCGTGGTAGCTGCCGAGACAAAGGGCGCCGACTCCCTTGCGTACTCGCTGCGAGCGGGGAGTCTACAGTCGCTAGAGGCAATCACGTCGCAGGCGACTTCTCTAGGGGCGCTTTGTGTTGCCCCCAAGGTGCTGGAGAGTGCCCTGTCTCCGCCGGCGGGGGTAGAAGTTGTTAGCTATGTGGGGTCGGATGGGGATGCTGCAAGGGGGGTTGTTCGGTTGGCTGATGAGATGCGGTTGCAGGTTGAGTTGGCGTGTGGGATTAGTGTTGAGGCTGCCGTGGCGGAGAAGTTGAAGACGAGTGTGCCGGGTTTGGAGCCGGATGGTCGGGTCGTGGTTGTTGTTTGTGGTGGGAGTAATATTTCGGCGGAGATGGTTGCGGAGTATCGGCAGAGGCTTCAGGATGGATGGGAGTCGGGTTTTTAGATTACTAGACTGGATTTCATGAAACAGCCTTGGAAGACTATCCAGATACAAGTGCAATTGGAAGTTCAACTTGGCCAACAGGCATACACAATGAGTATCATACCCAAGGCGACAAGATCTCTAGTAGAAACCGTAGGAGCAGGCTTTATAGAACAAGCCATATGGCTCATCATTCTATATACTAAAGCCGTGTGGTGAATCAAGCCGTTCAGACTCAACCAACAAATCAGATAAGAAGGAATAATATGAATTGAAATTGAATAACATTACTACTAAAGTACAGACTAACTGTTGTAAGATTTCTGCCAGTAGCTGTCTCATGATTGCACCTCTGTCGCACAGAAGCATGTCAGTTTCCGTGGTTGCACCATCACTAGCAAATCATGGAGTCCGTCTATTCTGATGCAGTGGTTGAAATCACTCGTTTCAGCCATGTTTTATCGTCAATAGACTTTTGGATAAAGAGTACAGTATTTACACATGTGGCTGCGCCAACATGTACCAACAGCCATATGCTATGAGGACAAGTCCAAATCAACAAATCTATTGAACAAGATATGCAATAACGGTCGAGCCTATTTATCATAAAGTCGTACATCTATAGGATGAAGCAAAAAACAACCACCCCCTCTGTGAACCCGCCCTTAGTCGCTATCGCTGGCGCTATCATGCATGGAACCATTATCCGCCGTATCCCTGAGCCCCTCAGCAAGGATATATTCCGCCTGCTGCAGCGTGGACTTGATCTCCTGGTTGTTGAAGACGAGGTCGGCGGGCTTCTGGCCGTGCTTGTTGCGCACGCGCGGGTCGCAGCCGGCCTCGCACATCATCTTGATCATCTCCAGCCCGAGCTCGGCGTCCTTGTCGTTGGCGTAGCGGACGGCGACGTGGAGGGGCGTGTCCTCGTCCAGGCGGGTGACGGGGTCGCATTCGAAGTATTGGATGTCGAAGAGGGCGTCCATTGTGTCGACTGGAGAGAGAGTGAGGAAGTTAGCGCACTGTATAGGAGACGATAGATGGGGGTGTGTATGCTGGACTTACAGCTACCGTACGTAGCGCAGATGTGTAAGGCGTGGTTTCCTAGAGGGTCTGTGACGCCGTTGAAGAATTCCGCGACCTGTTCGTTCGATTTCCCTTCTAGTCCCTCCATGACTTGCTCGAGGAGGTGTGGCTGGTCCCGCCGGCAGGCTTCGACCACCAATTCCCGCGGAGTTGCGCCCTATGTTGTCAGCACTCGTACCCCGCCCAGGGTATAGATTGCGCGTCACTCACATCGTCGGACATGGTTGTCTAGATTGTATTTCTGACACGGCAAATAAGTATTCGGATGTGGTGAATCGCTTGTGACTACCGGTTGGGCGTCGAATTGTGGTAGCAATGTTGGGAAGTCCAAGCTAAAGGAGCATACAGCCCGATCAGGAGGCGCTCTTATGACGGGGAACGGGGGACGAACTCCTGGAGTAGATATAGTATAAGCAACAGCCGATGGAGAAGAAATTATTGACAAAGTGTAGTCTCCTCACGGGTACCGCACATCCAACCCACTCCAGGAACCAAAATGACTTACAGGGGATAACACTGTTCTATCGATAGTAGTCGGAATGTCGGATCTAAACGCTGAATGGCCTTCCCCACCTGACAGGCCAGGCATGCAGATGGCCTTCGGATTATTGATTGACCGGCCCGGTTTAGTGCCCCGCCCGAACCGATTAACTGCCAGGCGGTAAGGAAGGCGGTGGAATATACTTCCCCTCCAACGGACAATCGCTATTTTAGTATTGCATGCAGCTTGATAAGAGCTAATGCGGATAAAGAACGCAAAAGCCCTTGCTGCGGGAGTGACAGCGACAGCAGCCGACTGGAGCTTGATGGAATATATATGACCAACTTGACTGATTGATTGATTGACTGACCGGATTGACACCTTCGATTACAACAAGCTAGCTCAAGCAAGATACAAAATGCCGTTGACTTGTTCGTTGTCCCCCATACAAATCTCGCCATTGCTATCACTAACTATCTCATTGTTTAGTTTGCCCCAATTGCAGCAATGCCCTCACGATCTCACGCGCAGATCCGACAACGAGACATCCCCTCGGCGTCAACCGGTTCGAGTGTCGCACCTGTCCCTACCAGTACATCCTCGACCAGAGCTTCTTCGAGAAGACGCCCATGAAACAAAAGGAAGTGGAGGATGTCTTTGGCGGCAAGGAGGAGTTTGCCAACGCCGACAGCATGGCCAGTCAGTACCCCCCTGGTGTTTACCCAACATGGTGTTATGGAATATCATCCAGGCTGGATTGATTGGATGGCGAGTGCTGACCACCCCTGTCCTGTTCTACAGCTCAATGTCCGTCGGAAAACTGCAATGGCGACCGTGCATACTTCTTCCAGCTGCAGATTCGAAGTGCGGACGAACCGATGACTACATTTTTGAAGGTGGGTGCTTTTTCTTGTTATGCTTGTTTTGTCGATGCTTGTTGTCGAAGATGCATTACATTGGGCATTACTGACATGTTGATAGTGTACCACGTGCGGTGCCAGATGGAGAGAAAACTAAACCTTTCTTTCTCTTTTTCTTTTGTTTACTCTATTGGTTTTTCTCATATGTTGTTATGCTGCCTGGGTGCCTTGCGTTGGTGACTTTGTCATCAGATACCCAGTGATCGGCATGATATCCGAGTACTACACAGGCGAACGGTGAAGGTCAAGGGAAGACGGAGTTATCTAGGTTTCTTATGTGCTTTAGATTTGAGATATGAGATTGAGGATTGATATGTAGCTTGCTATCAAGATACCCTTTGATTTGATTTAAGTCAAGAATGACCATTGTGCACGTAATGACGAGGATAGGATGAACCCAGATCCGACATGGTTCAAAATAAAGATGCAAATAAAATAAAAACCAGCAAAAATAAAAAATTCGATAGTTTCATTCCCAAAAAAGATGTTAAAAATTTTCAATTGTAAAAACCCAAATTTGTTTGGCCCCTGCCAGGCTGCCACAGTGGTTCTGCGAGCGGCGACAATCATCAGATTTGGATTGGATGAAACCATGGTAGCTTTCTGGCTGCCGCTAGACACGAGTCCTAGTAGATTTTTCCTCCTCCTTGTAGATTTATTCTCTTTTTTCTATCATTTATTTTTCTTTCTTTCGTTCTTTTTTTTTTTTT